GGCGTGCGAGCATGACCTCACACCTTCTTAACTCCTCCTCACGAATAAAGCATTTTAATAAACAGCCCAAGGCCCTACTTAAATTTAAATCTACAACTTCTCATAACGCGAACAGCCAATTTTGATGATTTCATATGACTTATATCGCTATACCTTACGTAATGATAGAAATATAGCAAAATCTCATGCATGACGAGCCGATTGCTTTTTATTGTTTACCGCAAAATGCTCGCGGCCGTTATGTATGACGTCGGAATCGTCTGCAGTGACGCATTCGCGGAGAAATCTCTTGTTTACATCTCTCGCTCGTTCCGCAAAGCGATTTGATGCACACCAACCACCGCGAACTCTTTAGTACTGCGTCGCCCAAAACGGTGACGGCAGAGTACGAAAAAAAGCATTTCGTAATTCAACCACTAGTAAAACGGAGCAAGAACGAGTGATGAATATATAAGTGCGTAAAAGTGTTTAGTGCTAGCATTTGATTAACACCGGTAAAACTTTGAACATAGCGGAGGACTTGGGTGTTCCACCTTTGCGTGAACGATCGCGCAACTCTTAGCAAATTAATACTAACTAAAGCTATAAAAATAGGTTTAATAGTAAAACATGTAATGTGGTTTTTCTTCTGCCTCATTGCGTCACTGATGGCGTTTGCCTACACAATCCAATGAACTTGTCTGTGCATAACGCTGCAGCATAATGCCACCAAACACGGTAATTCAATGCTAATGTAATTAAAGGTGACCGTACATTTGAACCCAAGTGTATATCCGCGGGTTCAATCTATATGCGGGCGCTAAAACCCATGGGTTAGGGTTATGATAGGTTCAAATATCCGTGAAACAAAAAATTTCAAGCGGTGCAATAGTATGCAGGTGCAATTGTCGTTGGTTCAAATGTACGTGGGTTCAAATGTAATGGAACCATAATTAAAGCTTAGTATAGATTTTTCCCACTTTTATTCCCTATATAAAATCTGTAACAAATTTGCATAAAATTCAGCAAAATGATGCACGCATGAATCGCGTGGGTGTTATTATTAATCCTTGAGATGGTTTTACTATCTGATGTTCGACATGGTTCAGTCATGCTAGTCTATGCCAATATTATTTGCCTTTTCATTTTTAGTGACACTGACTCGATGACCTGCGGTGCAAACCTTTTTGCGTTCCCTCACATTCTTAGGAATAAGAACTTTCATTGCAAATTCATTACGGTCTACAATCACGACCTGAGTCCTTCATCTGCTAATAAAAGTGCGGGTGATAATTAAACGCGAAGATGTTGATAAGTCAGCTCATTATGAATAATGTTATATGTACTGCTCTGCTGGTAATTTATACTTTATAAGCATTTAACTTCAAATATATATATATGTGAAATCACTCGAGTGCATTATCACATTGATATTCACATATACGGTATATAATACCAGAAACAGTTCCGGCTATAGGATTTCTTAAAATTAAAAATATTAATAAAGGTTCATGATATACCTCCTCAGTAAACCAACAATAAAGTGATATGGCACATCGGTGCGCGAGTTAATGCTGGCGGAATCTGCCCTTATCGATACTCTGTGTTGATTGTGGTCGTTGTACGGGAATTACGTCATTTCTTGAATGAATTTGTGGTCGTAGAAGTAATATCGTAACTCTAAATATCTGAATTTCAATGAGCGCGTCAAAAATTTCAGATGCTTAATCTAACCTGTATTTCCAAGTGGAAAGCATTTGTGGTATGTCACGGGCACTGGGCTCTATTGGCTATTGTCATGTTGATCCTGCCACAGACACTCGCTGGATGTAATTTATTGGTGTAACTGTAACATCAACGAAGCTCAAGTCCACAACCAGACAGTTTCAATGCCTAAGTGGCGTGCTTTCGACCAAATTAGGTTCACTCGGTATCACTTTAATGGATTTAATTATTTGAAGCAGGTACGGCAAGTAACCCGTGAATAGTGTGAGTGAAGCAACACGCCACGGTATTATCGTTTTGCGTGACATCGTTCGTAGATCAACCCGTTAGAAATTCTTGGCTGTAAACCCAAATGAATATGGAAAAACATGTTATACCTATAATAGACCTATTGACTTTATTTTTTGATTCAGTTTCCTGACGATATTCTTAGTGTAAGTTTGCGTCCTAATTGTACTTTCTAATGATTCAAGCGGCGGCCATTTTACTGTTAAACGAGTATTGCGAGTTCCAGAAAATGGCGCTTGTTATTTTTGGCATTCGATAATGATGACGTTAGCATCACTAGGGTTTCAATATGCAGCTATATAGATGCAGATATGTCTATGTTCAATTCTCAAGAGGTGGTAAAGAGCATTTAGCGAAACGCACAGAACCAGCCGCATAAATCAAAAACAAACTCACTTCTGTAGGTAATATTTCTGTCAGAACGTCTTTCGAGATGAACGTGTATGTACATATATATATATATACGTATATTAGAAATTTCTTGCAGTATGATATTGAATGCCTGAAGACCAAAAACGATTCAGCCAGTTGATTTCAACGACTCATTGACTAACACTAACTTTCATAGCGAGAAACGGTGAGCAAAGTGTCGGAATTGCTCTGATTGGAATGTGTTTGCACTCGTTTGCGCGCAACGTATCGCGTGGTGATAAGATGTCCAAAACGATGCATGACAGTAATGCATGTATTTTAAGAAAGAATTCGTATTACGTAATACATTTTGAGATTTGCAGACAGCAAGACATTAACTTTCCAAATTTGCGGTTTGTTTTGTCGATCGCATAGACGAAGGTAAAAATAATGCATCGCGAAAACACATGAAAGGTAAAAATATATAATTTATTGTTTTTACGTCTATTTTAACTTGGCTGCTATTGATATTTGTGTATATATCAAAATTTATGTAAACATGCAAACAATATGCGCGTATAATAATTATTGCTCTGACGCTAGTACAAGGTAGCCTCCGGGCGAGACTTGACGGCTGTGACGTGAAAAGAAATATCTCTCTATCGATTAAAAGAAACTCGACCAGTCATTTCTCCGATTTATTTCTAGAGATTCGGTGATTATTTTATTTTTACTTTATACGACCTGCTAATTTGCTGGCCACTGCACACAAGTCCGCTAATCAGAGACTTTTTGTCTAATAATAAAGATTTTAATGGGCAATTTCTTAAAAAAGCAACAGATCGAAAACAATTTTAAAACTAAATTTGGTTTGCTTGTTTACGCAGTCATTCTCACAATATTGCAATAATAAATTTCAACTTCCAATTGAGAAGTTCAATTCGCATAACAATATTCATATATTTTAAGACAAGATCTTCCGCAGAAACTCAACACTGTCTAAACCTAAAATGGCAGTTGGGTTAGGTGTACAAATATCTGCAACGTAGCATAGTAAAAGCATTTGCGCTGTGCTCTTAATCAAAAGTAATGGTCCTCGTGACAATTGCGACGCTTGAGAAGCAATCTAGTTTCCAAATGGAGCAAAATTCTTTCATTTCTTTTAAAAATGTTAAATGACATTTTGGATAATTAACTTAATTTGCGCTGTTAATATGATATCTGAACAATCATTAGGACTTAAATAAAGCTCAATCGCAGTTAAATGCTTCGATTTTATACATTCAAAAATAGAGTACACGAGTACAAGAAAATCATTCAAAAATAAATTTCCAATTTGCATTTACAGGTTATAAGGAGAAATGGAACTTTTTGGACAATGTTTGGACGCGCGAACTTGTTTAGCGCAGGCGGATCAGGGTGGTTAGTCATATTTATTTTAAACGCTGCGCGAGAATCGGCGGCGTATTAGTGACTTTAATTTATTTATTTTGATTTAAAATCGTGAATCTTGGAATAATTCCGGAATAAAATTTATTTATGTTTGATATAAAAATAAAGATTTTTTTTGTTGGTATGTGAGTTCCGAATTTGAATGTTTTGAGATGAATCAAGCAGAATTTTTTTCCTTCACTGGTTTTCAATTCAATGCGGGCTTTATCAATGTCACTTTTTTACATTTACTCGATCTCTTTTGCTTCCTGATTATGTGGTGTAGATTTTGACATTGACGAATTTATTGATGTAGTATCATAACCGAACATTCAAATCCTAAATCCACCAGAAACGAAAAAAGTGGTTGGTGAAATTTCATGTCGTACAAGTTGTATAATTTCTTATTTTCTTTTAATGTAATTTCCCCTTGTGTGTCACCGCAAGGATCTAGTTTGTGTATATAATATAGGAAGCATTCGCTACCGGTACATTTCCCTCTGTGTTTACGCAACCACGATATATATATAGTCTAACAAGGATCATACATTACGCATTATGCGTGCCGTTTCGCAAAATTCACGACGAGGTTGCTGTCAGTTGGCATAGAAGTAAGTAAGTGAACTCATTGTACAATAAATTTATATTACTAGAAATGTAATCATCAATACTACTCACGTGAATTTGAATAGATATTGTCTTGTGATTCCTAATGTTTCACCAGGGAGAATTTAAAAACGTCGCTACCATGGCGACAAGAACAATTCAAACTCCAAACATAGCGCAACATAACTTGTGTCTCGTTTGTGAGATAGTTTGTGATGTCCCCGGACGCACATGGCACGTGCAACAGGGTTGTTGACAATGCGTGACTCGATGACGAAAGTTTTTATACGCATCGTTTCTCGCTCTAGTTCTCTCGCCAGCCCAATACGGCTCGTACCGTAAGCGCCTATTTTTAGCCCATTACTGAACTCCTTTCTCGTCGCTTGACGAAAGCCGACCCGTAGTATAAAAGGGCTCTGACGCAAGTGTTTGCTATCATTCTGTAATCGGCTGGAGCGTCGGACGGTAGAAGCGACTTGAATTGTACTTTAGAACATTGATGAAAAATACACTCGAACGAATTACACACTATTATTCTTTTATTCTAATTATATATATATATATAGATTTAGAAATTAAATTACTTAAAAATCGACTTTGATGCTGCTACTCCGCGAGCCAAAACTGGATTTAAATGTTTACTTATAATTTATATTTACGAATAGATATGTATGTATACATATATTAATTTATGTATTCATTTAAAAAAAATAGATGTAGTTATAAAGACTAAAGTGCTCCGATGAAGTAGAAAGTATTGTTTTTACATGTGTCGCTTGGTATTATACTCAACAATTCCGTAGGTGTATATTCAAAAATATAGAAAAACGATTTCGTGCAAAGCAAAGTTAGCGATATGATACCAAGTTATTAACTCCTTCTACTTATTTTTCAGATTAAAATATTCAGAGAATTCGTATTCTATTGATATTACTCCGGATCATTGAACCTAACCTTGATTTACTTGGATATAAATATTCGGAATTGAAAGACTCACTTTATAAAAGGAATTCCAATTTCAACGACTAGATTCAATGAAACTTCACATGATGACACATGGAGATCCGCAGCAATACGAGGAAGATGCTGGGAATGTAGTACCCATGTTTCACAATCATAACAGCTCTCCGTTTTACCACATCGGGAATAGTTACGACAAGGGATCCTATTCCGGGAAATATTATAATTCGCCGGTGAACAGTATGCCCGATAATCGGTACAATAACACATCTCAGAGTAACTCTCGTGAGACCGCAGATACTTATTCGTCTGAATGCGATGCAACGAATATGACAAATGACGACCTACTGCTACGAGTAGCGGAAGAACAACTGCGACCCCTTATCAAAGAAGAATTACGCTACACCATTCAGAGCAAACGAGCTGCCAAAGGATTGCCTTCCCATGTGGAAATTGAGTACAAAGTTGCTCAGCCTGAGGTAAATAGATTGCAAGCGTTTGATTCTGTTTGAATTTTAATTCAATAGCTAGCGTAGTGAAAACCAGAATATATTTGGTATCTTAATAAAATGGTACGTCAGCATTGAATTATGTTATATAATAATGATATATTTTTTCAGCCTGAAACTCCAGCAATGTCGATGAAAAGGCAAAGACGAAGGGACAGAAATAAAATTGCCGCAGCTAAATGCAGATTCAAGAAGAAAATACTTTCTGAGAAATTATTAGAGGTATACTAAATTCTGTGAAATATCAACCTTGCCAGTCATCTAAACAATTACGCATTCCTATATTTCTGTCACTATTATCATGAACTGGGTTATTCTCAATAAGACGTCTCACTGTAAACGCTACAAATTTCTTTGTGGCGTCGTGGAAATGAGCCATAGTACTTTTTTGGAGGCTGAAATTGCAGGTAAATTAGGCACTGATTGTTGTCCATCGTCTAACTATGGGGATTTTGTTCTGGTACCATGACGCGCTGGAAATTGTAGGAAAAGAAAACGGGGTCGGAAATTTAAATTTTCTATATCTATATTCATGCATTTAAAGCTTACAATCCTAGAAATGCAGCATAAAATAACATCGCAGTAGTTCTTATGCGTATACTGTAAACATGTTGCGGCAAAGGTGATGCGCCGACGAACAGTCTTCTGCGACTGCGATCGTATTACAGAAAACGTTCAAATGTAATTTCGAGACAGTTATGTTTGATTTTACCCGAGCAACTGTCCAATCTTAGCAGCGATTGTCATTCATTACCCGATTGACAAAATGTGTAGGTTTAATATTGAGAAAGGAATTTTGTTATCAATATAATGTTGTGGCATATTCAGCATGAGACGAATTAAAGAATATGAAACGTTCTTAAAAAATCAAATCACTGGCATTCTCAGATCTGTGGTAAAAATATCTTCGCATTTTGTGCATTTAAAAAACTTGCATTCAATTTGTTTTGTAGGAATCAGATCATCTTGAGACACAGAATCATAAGTTGAAAACAGAAGTTCAGCGTCTACAAGATGAAAGACAAAAGTTGATTTATATTCTCAATTTGCATCGACCGACTTGTATTGTTCGTAGCCCATCGTGTTCGTCGCCTACAAACGAAGAATGTTCAACATCCAGCTCTCCCGGATTTAGTCAGACGCCGACACATGGAGAACACAGCAAAAATTGTAACGGCAAATTATCGCTAAATTCAAGATCGTCTTCGTTGGAAGATGATGCAATAAATCATTTAACATCTACCTTCACATTTCCACCGTTTAGCACTGGAAATGAATCCATAAATACGCCGATACATAGGAGTGTTATTGTGCGAAGCGATTCAATGCAAGCGTCATCGTAAACTGAGCCCTGGGCAACTAGAACATTGAAGCGCTTGGGTGAGACACCTAACAAAATGGCGGATGAAGCAGCAACTTCTAACAAGCGCAGATAACGAAAGAGCTAATGCAGCTCTTCAATATGCGATCAACTAAAACCGGTGAGATGTAATTGCGCTTTCTTTCTTTCTTGACATTTTTATACGAAGCCTTTTGTGATAAATAAATTCTAATGACTTACCACCATTTCGGGCTGGCCCGTATCGGCGGCAGTGATAGGTTAGCATTGAATAGTCCAGTATAGGCTATTATTGCAGAAGAAATAATTTTGCGACCATCAAACGTTGTAAATCTTACGAGAATAAAATTCTCACTTACACAAAATTCATTGCCTGACTCTTTAAACCTGATTCAAGTTCCACTTATTCAACGTTTTATTAGACAACGCAATATAGCCGTATGTAAAATTCGAATTAAGAATATATAGTATACTATACTAAGTGAAAGACGGGGAGGCTGGGTACTCTATACGCACTGTTTAGTATTTGTATCAAAGGTGAAATGCTAAAAATATTTATTATTTCAAAACAAAATTTTTTATTTCAATTTGTGTCGTCATGTGACGTATATTTTAGAAACAGAACAAATTATAATATTGTTTTATTGAACATCAGTCTTGCAATTTTTAAACCCTAATTTATTGTTTTATTCGGCATCTTACTAAATTTTGCTGGCCATATTGTGTTAATGATTATGGTGCTTTTGCTACTTTTTAATTTATTCTTATCGAACAAGAACTCGTATTTATACATCTGCCTACAAAAATTTCTACATACAATGCAGTTCAAAATGAAGCTATGAAATATGATAAAACTTCGTTTGTTTTTATTTGTGAGTATTTGGAAAATATAAACCAGGTATTTTGGAGGCATTTACTATAGTATCTATAGCTAAAGATCGTAAATTGGCGATTTGTTGCCTAATATGTGTAAAAAAACGAATTAGTTGTATGTGAGGGGGAGCGCTTTCAAATTAACGTAACGACGAATATACAGACGACAACTATACAGCCGAAAAAATAGAAACAAATCCAGTGAAAATTTGAATACCAATATCGAAGTCATAAAAAACGTATATGCAAATCATTCCTAAGAACGAGCGCAGAAGATAATTTACAAATGAACTTTCAGCGTGGTTGTAAGTTAAAAAGGAAATAGAGAAGAGATCGAATCTTACAACTAGTTCTCGTGCTCCGAACGATGCTGAACGACAATATCAGTGATTAGTTATCATATTTTAGAATATTCGCTAATGGTGTTTGGGAATTTGAATGAGTCAAATTAGTCTATGATAAAAGAAGCTAGCACCTTCAAGAATCGTCTTTCTTTCATTTCAAGGCTGAATAACACAAGATGCAGTTACTGTTACCATGCCACTACTGACAACTCAATTTTGCTGACGTATTTCGGAATACCAAAAGTGTACGAATAGCATAAACCAGTGGTTCACAACCTTTTTGTGTTTTTTATTTCCTTCTTTACCTATTGCATATATATTTATTCCTCAGTCCCTATGCATAAAAACTCTATTCTCAATATTTATTCAATCTTCAATGAATCCTTAGCTGGTATTACTCGCACTCTGGCCTTTGCGCAGTTTGAATAGTTCCCAATATGTCCATAAATATGCATTACAATAAAAATAAATGACAAGGAATTAAATTTCATGCATGACTATGTACAAATTTAATGGTTACAATATAAACACTTTAAATATTTGTTATGTCTATATATTATATATATAGACAATTAGTGTTGTACATAAGAATAAAACGTGCATTTTACCAACTTTTTAAAAAACGGAGTATTTATCTTTTCTAAATGTTTATATACAATAAATGCCCCCTATTTTCTCATTGCACAGAGTGTCTCAAAATAAATGGAACTCATTAATTCGAATAACCAATTTTGTGAGTTTCATTTATTTTAGGACACCATATATTTAAGATCCTATTTTGATAGGGTATTATTGTTATGTATGCAATCCATCATCCGGGTCGCAGTTGACTCATGGGATCACAGTCGCAAAAACATAAAACTAGTCAGATTTAGCGAGTAAAAGCGTATCGACAAGTTTATGTCAGCGAGTGCATATCTTCGAAGCAAACGTACGATTTTGATACTCTTTATCAAAGTTGAATGTTTTGAAAACAACTCTTTGGCGCCATATAATGGATATAGGAGCTAGGTTGAAGCGTGAGTCTCTAATTTCAGCAACACAATTCATCAGTGAATGCTACTTTCATTTTTACTATTGAAACATCAAAATCATGTACAAATAAAATCGTTAATGAAATAAATGAAGCCTTAGAAAACGTTATCAGATTGCAAAAAAAAACAAGCACTAAGTGAGACAAAAACTGTCTTTTATATATTATGCTGAGCTATTGTTTATAGTTCCTGCATGTGCATATGTGCACATATATTTTTTCTCCAAATCCCTTTATATATTTATTTCTTAGCAATTATATGACCGCTATGGAGTGTGACACCAGGTATAAATATCTTTTTCTCCCTCGCACCTCTCACATACGTACAACCCTCTCTCGCTTTCAAAAATTGCATTTTGGAAAGCGGGATATCAAATTCCGGTTTATACTTATACCCGATTTCGGATAAATCAAACAATATGAGAGCGTCCACAACACTTTAGTGGCCGACGTTAATACATGGTTTATGGTTATATATATGTGATGTATAGGATTTATCATGCATTTGTCCTCCTAAACCTAAACCAATCGTACCGACCGCTCATTCATGACTTTGGCAGTTGTCATTCAATTCCAATCTGCAAAAAATAATTCTTAGCGGTCTTTCATTATCCCCCATTCCCTAAAACTGGAAAACGCATAAAGTATCGTAATCAGACCAATAGCCTGCATTACAAGTTATGAGTTGTCGTACACCTCAGTATTCCAGAATCGGTCTTTGCTGCATTAAAAGTTAGAACGTAAATACGGTTCCATTACATTTGAACCCACGTACATTTGAACCCATGACAATTGCACCTGTATGCTATTGCACCTATGGAATTTTTTTTGTTTCACGGATAGTTAAACCCATACTAACCCTAACCCATGGGTTTTAGCACCTGCATATAGATTGAACCCGTGGATATACGCATGGGTTCAAATGTACATGGGTTCAAATGTACGGTCACCCGTAAATACATATTATGCCTGTCATCAATTATATGAATTAAGGAATTGGTTATGTAAACAACACCTGTTTGCACACACATATGTCAAATAGTGCCGTTTAAGTGTGCTTGGAACATTATAACAGCGGTACCAGTCGTGATTTTCATTATGTCAGGGATTGGCCAGTTTTCAACTTAAGAAACAACTTCAACAACTAGCTGCGACGTCAGTTTAGCAACCCCCGCGCAACACTATTTATTCGGGCACCCTGAATATTCAACGCGTTTGATAATAATCACCTGCGTCATGTTTGAAAGGTTGCCTTCGGGAACAAATTAGCGTCATTTCTAGTCGATGTTTCTCAAGTCTGCAGACTGTCCTGCTTAGCGGAATTTGTGTAAACGTGACACCGGTCTTGTACGCAGCCGCGTCCGCCATGAGCTGGTGTCGTTAGTTATATATCTTAGAGTGGGGAGTTTGACAGTCTGAAACGCGATTAGTAATTGCTTCAATTAAATTTGTCATTTTTATAAAAGTTTCAGTTAATATTTAAGTTATTTTGATCATGTCGTCCAAAACCAGGCAAGCGTCATCTGCCGATAATCAACGAAAGACAACTAAGACAAGTGGGAAAAATACTGGTAAGTTTTAGAAGGAAATATGCGTTAATTAGAGCATCATTTTTTCAAGTTCCTTGGTTGTTTACACTGCTGGAGAAAGTGTGGCGTGTATTTGTGCTTTATATGTAACGCGACTGCCTTTGGCGAGGACTAAACGGAGTTGAACGTTTTGTTACGTTGGGCATTTGTCAAAAAACAACATAGGCACTTGCGGAAATATAAAAAGGTTTTATGAAAATACCTTGAAAATTGTGCGCTAAATAAACCGTCATGGGTATTTAAATGCAAATAGTATTTAACACATCTACAACTGGTACCGAGACCGGCTGCTTTACTGATATTTGTTTGTCAGTCAGCGAAGGTTCAGATGCCGCTTGCGACATATCGTGTTTGTTGAATGTCAGACAAGGTCATCGAATTTGAAATTTCGAATTTTGATGGCCGCAATTTCAACAACTGGTGTCGTAATAAAAATGGCGGTTTTCACGCAAAAAAGTGTTAATCGCAATTTGAAGAAAAGAATTTCCATAATAATAATCGGAGTGGTATTCAAATATGCCGAGTTGTTTAATAAGTAGGAATATAGAGTCGCTATAAATGACATAGAAAATAAACCTGCACATTAAAATTGCTACAAGACGCGGCATCGGTACGAAGACTAGTTGTACGACTGGTTTGCTTAATTTGCGGTCGCATCGCGTCAACACACATTTATTCGCAAGGTCACATTTGCCTGCGGGCCTGCAGCATTCCATTGCCGATTTTGATGTGATAAACAAATCGACCAGGTATTTATTTATGGGCAGAAAACTTGTAATGTACACCTTTTTTCTTGTGATGCAATAAAGATGCCTATGTAGGCTACGCGACTGAAAACCACAAACTAATTTTTCCACCTCACTGATCATGATTACAGAGCCAAAGGTTGAGAGAGCTCCGGCTGTTTTATGCTTTCGCTATTAGAATGACTCTCGGCCTGTCGCCGTGATGCTATTATAGCGCAAAAGATTAGCAATGGCCAAGTACATGTAATACGCGATTCTAAAATTAACACGAAATTGCTTTTCTGTTAAAACAGAAGTTTAAGAAGGCTTTAATATTTAACATCGTGGGAGAAAATCTGAATATTCAATCGTAGAAATACGCTGCGAATAAAAATATCTTTCCACACTCGTAGATAAGCGAGAGTAAATTGTGTACAATATGATCATCTTCGTTCAATTTTGTCACCCAGTGTCTGCTTCGAATAGCTCCGACGAGAGAACGTGACCTTCGCGATGTGCGTTGTATTATTTTTTCAGCTAAAACGGCGAGGTGTCGAACGCCCATACGTAAAGGTCGGGCCTGATTATAAATAATAAAAAAAAGCTGCTGCCTGTCGTGCTGGCGCAAGCAACGGTTCGTTATGAATTTTCGTCGGTGGATCAGATATCAGGATATTGTCTGAATACCGTTTTTTTTGTGATTGTTCTTATCAGACAGCGCTATGGTTAAGCAAATAAAATTGTTATTAATTCCGCGTTGTATTTCGTGACCAGCGTGCGTATGCCGCGAGTTCACTGATGATAACGGTTCAGCGAATAGCGTTAGCTGCAGAATTGATGGCATGCGAACGTGCAGATTGGGTATAAGGTTAAGTTGAAATAAATTGAGATATTGGGCGAAAAAGTCTGATAGACGTCTAGTGCTTTATTGGACAAAATCAATCCTTGCAATTTATAACTAATGTTATGACAAAGCAATGCCGATTTGTGAACATTTGTTAAATTTTATTGGCGAAAAGAAAAGAATCGTTTGTGCATTTAATGAATTCCTTCAGTAGCGCGGAATTCGTACGACTTGTAAGCAAAAGTAATAGCAGATACTGAACTTTAATTTGCACTTTGATATAAAAATGCAGCAATACAGCAATAGCCAGATCAGCAGATAGCCTACTCATAGGCCCAACTTACCTGTAAGCTATGTTAAATGTAGTATATCTGATAATGGTCAACGGATCAAGCATAGGACATGATTCAGTCCGAAAATTTATCTTATCTGTGTTCTTCTTGTGATATTCCTAATTATTATTTTATCAAATAACTCATTTTTAGCAATGTATGTTGTGGTTTCAGTCTGCTTGACAAACGATCTTCAGAAATTTCCACTTTAAATATATAATTTTCACAATTAATTGGGCAATCCCAAAACTCTTCAATGAAACACTGCTTTCTCTTATCTTTTGCGATATAAATATAAACCATTTTTAGTGAATAATAAACAATACCAATCAGGTGCATGACAACAGCCACGCTTCAGTTAGGTATTAAACAAGCTTAGACATGTCAATTTGTCAGGATTTTTCAAATAAGTATGTCAGAAAAGAAGTCTATTGTAGCGCCCAACCACAATTTCAAAAACATTTCAAAGCTTGCTTTTGTTGAGTAAACTACTGCCTTTTTATGCAACAATAGGGTATACAAATAGTGGTGTGACTCAGCATAGAAAAGGTGATGGTGTGGTGACTGCAGTACAACCTCCAATCATAAAAACAATAAAAGCACCTGATCCATTGAAAAAGACTGACAAACAAAAACCAGTGACTAACGGAAATTCATCTGGTGCTAGAAGCAAAACTACAGTAAGTAATGTTTCTTTTTCTTTCAAGTTCACTTATATCTTACATTTGTACATGGCATTCTATAGGGATTTGTAGGTATGAAATCATCGAATTGTCAATTGCACTGAAATAACTCAAGTACTCAGGTTGCGTTTATGTTCATTAGTACAAGAAACTTAGTAATCTATATCATGAGTTTAACATGCATTTAGTAGAGTTTTAGATGTGAAGTTGACCTGTGGATTGTTTTGCTATTTTGTCTTGGTGTTATGAAATATCTCTCCAGTTGCTGGACAAATCAATTTTATATTTCCAGTACTTGGAAGATAGAAGGCAATTGATTTTATTAATTTCATATGATTTTTTTTACACAAGTGGTCAATATTTCACCAAAATTTTGCAAAGTTTTATCTCTTTCCAAAAATTAGTATATTATTAACTGAAATATCCTATATTTTTGCAGCTCATGGCTCAAAAACCTCTCACCGATCATGAAAAACGGAAACAGATTTCAGTTCGGGGCATTTCTTCACTTGAAAGTGTGGCTGATATAAACAAGGTTAGTTATTTAAATTTACACTTTTTTCTCAGGTAGTTAGATTCATGCAGTGTCTCAACTCTCAACTTTAATTAGGCTTTTCTGTGTTAAACAAGTCACTGGGTTTGAGATCATGAATGCAATTTGTTATTTTCTCATCAATAAAATCTCTTAAGTTAGGGAGGTTGCATGGCAGAGTGCTGATTTTGTTGCTTTACTTAGTTATTTCAAATAATCTGACCAAATTAAAAGGTGATCACATATTTAAATGCTGCCTTACACTTGTCCGAACATATATAACATGCGTACGCATGTAGTTCAACGTCAAGTTCTATATTATTAGCGAATTAAATCTCATGGGTATAAAATACAAATCACTTGACACGTGCACATAAATACATTGCAAACATAAACCAGCTGTTTGTGGGGTTATTTGAATTCATTGACTCAGTGTTTGGTGTTTACAGCCACAATCTGATTTAGATAAGATAATTTATTTTGAACTCGAATGTGGTAAAAATGAATGTACCGGTATTTGCATGTGATCTGGCTGAACATTTGCACTTGCATATGGCGTTCTGTGACCAAAATATGATGTTATATTATTAGTTGCAAGTTGATCTTTTCTTGATTTCAGGCTTTCAATCGCCATCTTCATTTTACTCTTGTGAAAGATCGAAATGTTGCAACCGATAGAGATTATTATTTCGCCCTTGCAGAAACTGTTAGAGATCAGTTGGTAGGAAGATGGATAAGAACTCAACAGTGGTATTATGAAAAAGATCCTAAGGTTTGTTTCAAGAACAATTTCCCAATAACTTTTTACTTCTGATATGTATGACAACAGCAGATTATGAAATTGAGTGTCCATATAGGTTGCTAACTCCCACAATGTATACTGGTAATGGCTCCATTACATTTGAACCTACATACATTTGAACCCGCGACAATTGCACCTACATACTATTTCACCTATGGAAATATTTTGTTTTACGGATATTTGAACCCATACCAACCCTAACCCATGGGTTTTATTAGCGCCCGCATATAGATTGAACACGCGGATACACACATGGGTTCAAATGTATGGTCACCACTGATAATATGTAGTATTTAGTCTGCTTCATTGTGTACAGCTTCAAAGTACAGGCACATAAATTACATACTTGCAAGAAATATAACAAAACAAATCTGACTATACTTTTATCCATGCTCATCTATCTTAAAATTTAACTGCTTAGCTATATGTATGTCGAAAGTATTTTGTTATGGCAAATTAAGGCAAAACTGTGGTTTACTTCAGTTGAAAGTTTCGGTTGTAACTTCAAATCCTTTTTGTCATACCGATACTTTCACTATGTATTAGATATTGATTTGTTTTATACAGAGAGTATACTATCTATCACTTGAATTTTACATGGGAAGAACTTTGCAAAATACTATGCTGAATCTCGGCATACAAACTTCTTGTGATGAAGCTATGTATCAGCTTGGACTTGACATTGAGGAACTCCAAGAATTGGAAGAAGATGCTGGTTAGATTTGTGACTTATTTATCTGGATTTTCTAACATTTCAAAGCTAATTCAGTCTTTAAAATTTGTTTCGATGATGTTTTCTAATTGGTTGTGTTGCCATTTTGGCATTCAAGGACACTTCTGAATCTGTGGTATTTATTGCAGAAACTATGTGTGTATTGTTGCTTTACATGTAACAAAATTATAAGCCTTTTTTATTTTTCATTCCCCTTTGGCATAATTTTTTTTATCAATATTGCATTTTATAAATTGTGAGAATCTAAGATGAAATTATAATTATTGCTTTATTTAGTCTCTCAATTTGCTGTTAAATTTTTGCCCCCATCTAGGTCTTGGCAATGGTGGGCTGGGAAGACTTGCTGCATGTTTTCTGGATTCTATGGCAACTCTGGGTATGGCTGCGTATGGATATGGAATACGTTACGAATATGGGATTTTCAATCAAAAGATTCGACAAGGTTTTCAGGTGACGTTCGTCTGTATTGCAGACTTATCAATGCATTATTTATGGAACAGTCGATTGACTGCAGCAGTATATGGTTTACAGCCATAAATAGGTTTCCCTTACAAACAATATTATTACTCATAAGAGAATATTTCTAGCTGCTGCAAAATAGTATTTCCAGTAATGTTTTGCCTAACAATTGTGTTCTAGAATATAGAATGTCCAGACCAAATCGGATATTCAATCCATTCAAAATTAATTACATACAAAAACAATACTCTCCCCAAGTTCTTGAATCAAGGTAAATTTTGAACAGTTTCATCTGTTAATTTATGCAAACCATAGAACCGTTTGAACAGCTGTTCATTCAAACCTGCATATTCAGACTCATTAAATATACAATGACTGTGTTCTATGTTAAGCATGATCCAATTTAGATCATATTCTATATTCAAAAATATTGTTCTGAAATGCTTTCAGGATAGTAAATTATTTAATTTTGGCGTTTCCTCAATTTCATCATGGACACATGACAATGCCAACTGTACTGTGTATATACTGTATATATTTCACAATCAATTATACAGAATTTTTATTTAATTACAAATAGCTTGAGGAAGCAGATGACTGGCTTCGTTATGGAAATCCATGGGAGAAAGCAAGACCAGAATACATGATTCCAGTTCATTTGTATGGAAGAGTAGAAAATCCCAATGGATGGGAAAAAGAAAGCGAATGGAAAGACACTCAGGTTGGTCATCGTTTATAGGAATTTTTTCAATATTTGGTCATAATTATAAATAGTGAAATAATATTCTAATCTTGATTCGAAATTTAGCTGGCCCAAGCTTGTGTAGTAAGCTAAGCTAATCACTATTGTTTGGCATGGATAAGAGTGTACATTCTGTTTGTTTTTGTGCTATCGATTGACTTTTTTCAGGATCACTACTTATCCTTCTATGCCTTTGTGCCATTGGATCAACACGCATATAATGCTATGAGTATGATGCTGTAACAAGAGTGGAGATAACTATTTAAAGCGATGGAAATTTTAATATACATCAACTCCGCAAAACTGTTAAATCACCCAGTATAAGTTGTCATATTATTTCATTTAGTTCTGTTTCAAAGAAACTGCTCTCTCTCAGGAATTCAGCAGAATTATTTTATTCACTAGTTTTTTGTATCTTATTCATTCATTTTTAGGTCATTTTTGCTATGCCATATGACACAGCAACACCAGGGTATGGAAACAATACTGTGAACACGCTTAGATTATGGTCAGCCAAATCACCAAACTCTTTCAATTTAGATGTCTGTAAGTAAACTAAATGCAATTTTGTAATCTTCGAGAGTTTTTAAAATTGTTATAATGACTTTAGATCTTATTCGTTGCAGTATCTTGTATGTTATGCTATTTACTATGCCTAAAGTATATTCTATTCAACATCAATATTAGTACTGGTAATGGTTAATCAGTTGAAAGTTATTGGTTATGATTTCTCTTGATTGACTATTTACTGCCATCATATGCATCCTTTTTTATGTACACTCAAACGAATGAAATTTCCTTATTTTTGTCTACTGTTGCCTTTAATACAAAAAAAATGACTACGACTATGAGGAAATACAAAAACTCTGCATATAAGGCTATTGATAATTATAATATTGGGTTCTAAATGCCTATGGATGGAACTGTTTTTACATTAATGTGTTAACCGCTATTGAATGTCATTCAACAGGAGTGCATTCGGTTATTTGACCTTTATTTTTGGAAAGTAGTTCCAAATGTTTAAAGACTTTACAATTTTGACTTATTTCCCAATTAATTTTGTCTGATTAACAGTCAAAGTGTTTTGGCTGAAATGCTCAGGCCTATTAATAATTCTTATTTATTTCAAACATTTCAGTCAATACAGGGGATTATATTCAAGCAGTATGTGATAGAAACTTGGCTGAGAATATATCAAGAGTTCTGTATCCTAATGATAACGTAAGTTTTTGTGGAACAGTATATTCTTGTACGCCAGCATACGTAACTATCACTTTTTTACAGGTTGATGTTTCAGAATCATTATTGTTGTTGATTTTAATTTAAAAAAATGCAAAGTATGGCAAACTTGTGCAATTTTGCTGCTAATATGACAATTTTTTGAATAATTTTAGTGATGATTACATTTAAAAACTACCTCTTTTTATACTAGTTTATATCAGTTTTGTCCAAATTAAATTTTTTTCTCTGGATTTTTACCAGAGATTTTTTTGCTGTGATTATATGAAAGTTTGACTGTCACTAGCTCGTTATAGGAATTAATTTTGGCAAAAACAAAATTACCATACATTGCATGAGATTCAAAGAAATAAATAAATAATACACTTGATAGTAAAAAGGAATTTTATGGTTGTGTGACATTCTTTTCAGTTTTTCGAGGGGAAGGAACTTCGATTGAAGCAGGAATATTTTGTCGTATCTGCTACTCTTCATGACATAATACGTCGCTTCAAATCTTCTACTTTCGGATGTCGTGATCCAGTTCGAACATCATTCAAAAGCTTTCCAGAAAAGGTTGGTGAATACAGAATTATGATAAAAATATACAGGGCGGTCATAAAATCTTGTCACAATTACAATTTTAATATGAATTCGGTTCACAATATATCCTAACCTAGAACCTAGGTTTGTTGTATATCTAAGTTATTTTAATTCACTTTATACACTGTTATTTGCACGAAGCACATCAAATTTTTTACCTAATTTAAATCGGTATATTATATGAGCATATAAAATAAAAGTGGTTTGGAGATGTCTGTGATCAATGCATTTAACTGTGTAAATGAACGTCCTGAAAAGGGCTCATAGTCACGACCACCATTGATGAGTCACGCTGGTGCTTTTACTTTGTTGTTTCCTGAAGTATTTCCTGATTTCATACTTACCTGTTGTTGCGAGGATCATGATTTTAATTTAACTATATACATTGTCGCTTGGAGAACTGAATTCGAATAATCTACTGTTTAGAAATAATTATAAAATAATATTTTTGATTATGGAATATTGAATGTTCCAAATTTTAGACTATATTTAACAGGAATTTGATTACCGTAACTTATTCCGTGACTCATAGAAATGATTTGGGTGGATTATAGTAGAGGTACACATTGACAGACTTTCCATACAGTGTCACTTTAACAATGAATTCAAATTTTTCAGGACTACCTGATGCCAAGATTTCCAATTAAACATATTCCTGAAATTCGGAATTTAAATTGAATCAATCTAATTTTAGAATATTTATTTCGTTTTCGTTACCCTGAAACAGATAATTGATAATTATCAAGTATTATATTTTCGGGTAAAGGTCTCAATTGGGGGGGAATTTAGCCCCATGGATGGTGTCAATTAGAAATTCAGACTTAACTGTTAATATTTGCTGAGGTGCAAGCAGGACATTTTTATTAATTTTGCTGCAATTTTCCTTCAAATCTTCAAATTTCAAGGTTGCGATTCAACTAAACGACACTCATCCTTCACTTGCCATACCTGAATTGATGAGAATTCTACTCGACATTGAGAAACTTGACTGGGACACAGCATGGGATATTGTCTATAACACTTGTGCTTACACAAATCACACCATTCTTCCTGAAGCATTAGAAAGGTGGCCTGTGTCTATGCTGGAACGAATGTTACCAAGACACTTGCAAATTATCTATCTTATCAATGGAAAACACCTTGAGGTGAGTTGCGGAATAACCGTTAATATATACTTTTGTTTCGTTGACCTTTAAATTACTTGAAGGACAAATTTAATAAGCAAAAGTTCAGACCATTTGCTACATAATTTCATGAATTTTTTAATAGCAGGTAACTTAGAATGCAGAGTTACTTCTTCTCACTAAAATATGATTTGCTCAGTTTCTTCTATACAGATTCTGTCCTCAGACTTTAATCTGTTTCACTTTTTTATTTTTACTTTACGCAAAAGTTTGGCATATTTATCATCGTTTTTCATTTAGGCTAGAGACATCAGAAATTGAAAAAAAAAAATGAGTCCCTTGTTTGGCAGCACACATCTTTAGTAACTCACCCTAAAAATCAATTTTTTTTTTATATTGCAGCCCAATAGCTGGGAGAAGCCATTCAAATGTCTATTGTGACCATATATACCTCCCTATCAGAACATTTGATCATAAAGATATGTGCAATATGTTGTTACGAATTGATGAATTTTTTCCTAAGTAAAGTAACTAATGCAATAATAAATTCTATTTTGTACTTTATCAGAAGTGTTTATTTCATTTTTAGACTGTGGGAAAACTTTATCCTGATAACCCTGAAATGGTTGGACGTATGTCACTCATTGAAGAACATGGTGAAAAACGAGTTAATATGGCCCATTTATGTATCGTTGGATCTCACGTTGTCAATGGGGTTGCTGCAATTCATTCACAGATTATCAAAGATCATACGTAAGTCCGGTTCAATTCCTTTTTTAGTTTTTGTATTTTACAGGGTGGTTCACGTGACCGCTAGTCAGTTACGGCTTCCAGCACCATCAAGTCATGCTTCCGAATACAGTAAACTGACTAACTAATCCTATATCAGACTTGGACTGATAACTGGATGAGAGGCCGTGGTTTGCCATATGATTAAACCGTCTTATCGACTTTTCGCTCCCACAGGATGAATGCTAATGCTGGTAACTTGGGAGATATTAGGTTTTCAACAAAAAAATATAAAAAATGATGAATAGTTAGTTAGCTGTACGACTCTGAAATCATTGTTAGTTGGGTTGGGCTTGTTTAAAATTTGTTTAATTGCCGTAATTAGTTTGTATCCATGAATTACGAATTACAGAAGTGTTATATTTGTTTCAAAAAATAAAGAAACTTGACCGAAACATTATTTATTTTACTCAGTTTCCATGACTTCTACGAATTGTCTCAAAAGCTTGGACAAACCGATAAGTTTCAGAACAAAACTAACGGTGTGACTCCACGTCGATGGCTGTTGTTGTGCAACCCTGGATTGGCTGATCTCATTGCCGATGTAAGAATTTAAAAAAATTGTTTTTCTTGTTATCTTTCAAGTGTGACAAATGAATTGTTTTCTGCTACATACATTTTCAAGGGATTTTAGTTTGTTTACTTGTACCAAGTAAATGTAAATGACAAATATGATAGATTGTTTGATTTTGAAACCATTAAACTCTGAAGTTTCGAACTTATCTTCCAATCTCATCTTCTATTTTTGCTTGGCTCTGCAATGTGGCGCATCGTGCTATACTTGATTAATGTTCTTCCTCCACCATCTAGTCTATGCATCTCGAAACGAAATACCTGGCTCACTGGACAGAGGCTGTAGTCAGCCATATGATTAATCTGTCTTACTTCTTTTCTCTGCCTGGAATAAATATGTAAATCCTATCCTTTCGAAGTGTGAAAGCTTCTCTCAAGGCTCACGATGTTATTTAAAGGTGTAAATAACTTGCAATTGATTTCTAAGGTGACTGATATTTCATGTCATTTAGAAACTTGGTGAAGAATGGCCGAAAAATCTTGATCAATTGCAAGATTTATGGAAACTCCACAAAGACAAGAATTTCATTCGTGAAGTTGCAAAAGTGAAGCAGGTAACTTGAACTTTATTTTGTATTTCCACTTCTTGATATTTACTACTAAGAATTCATTCTGTCGAAATTGTTATTGAGCAATGACCCTAATTAGATTAAATATCACGAAACAGAAGTGTTGAATTTGTATTACTAAACAGCTTGTTACATCACTTTACATAATTGAATTTTTTTGAGGGGATTATTATCTGAATTTTTTTGGTTAAGTTTGTAAAAAATCAAATTGAAATGATGTCGGATACAGCACTTTTACCGTTGTACTTTGCTAATCAATCTTGGTAATAGCGTAGATAATGTATACCAAGTAGGATATATATTTTGTATGAATTCTATATTTCGCTCAGACTTTGCCAGTAATGTGTTTTGCTAACTCTAGTTAATGTAGCAATATCAAAGATGACTAACTATTATCAAGATGAGAGTTTAAATGTGTTGTCTGAAGAAGCCAGACTTTGGTGGTCAAATGAATTGTCATATACTTACATTTGTGCTAAAAAGCCTTGAATAACCCACAAATATCATGATTTGAGACAAAACCAACGTCTTCTTTGCTATTGCAGGCACATGGTCAAGTATGTATAATTTCTTTTAACAGGAGAACAAGTTGAAATTGGCAGCTTTCATTGAAAAAGAATGGGGAGTCAAAGTGAATCCAGCATCCATGTTTGATATCCAGGTATAGTTGTTGACCATGAATTATTGTTTTATAATTTTTCTATATCTTGTTCAGTCTAATTTCGATGGGTTTGATCCAATTTAAAAACTACTGAATTAGTCTTGGCGATAGAAGCATTTATAGAGTCCTGTTTGTCACCTTTCGGGAAAGCTTATGAAAATTAATCTTGTGTACTTGCGAAAGTTGCTTAGTCATATCAGTTTGGATTTACTGTAGTTATTGAGTCACTCAAAACTAGGACTGGACATTTCAAATCGAATAGTTTTTCATTCAAATCAGTTTAGAGGGAAATTTTGAATTGTGCTATTATTTTTATTTGGCCGCAAAAAGGTAGAGGTGCTTTCCTCGTTTATTTTTTATTAAAGCCATATTTTTACAATGTATATTTCTTTCTTGTGATGAAACATGTTTCCTATTTTGCGTGATCAGCAAACTGTCTCAGCAATGGATTCTATGTTTTCAGTAATTTATGCGCTTGGAGGAACCATCTCAATAAAAAAGTCACATACATTTGAATATCTACCAAATATTCGAGATTCAATACCAAAAAAATATTTGATTTGATTCTGAAATCATCAGGTAATGTGAAAATGCCCAGCCCTACTCAAACCCTTGTGTAAAAATGAAGTTCGCATTCTCCCTGTGCGTCCACTCTGAACAAGCCTTGTACCAGCAGTCACTGATACACACAGAGCCAACTTTTTACCTAGTTGAGGTGGCAAATACGAGGTCTGAACCAATTTTTTTTTATAAATAGTGTATCATCTTCCATTCAGGTGAAACGAATCCATGAATACAAGCGTCAACTTATGAATGCCCTGCATATCATTGTTATGTACAACAGGATTAAAGAAAACCCCAATGCTGACTTTGTACCACGTACTATAATGATTGGCGGAAAGGTAAGACAAGTTGCTCATTGCTCAATAGTATAGCTTCATAAAGATATCCATTTCTTGCAATCACACAGCTTTAGTAAGAAAAACTTAGGAACAACTCATAAATAATTAAGAATGTTTATACCAGCATAGTTTATTATTTTACACTACATCTCTGATTTGCAACTGATTTTCTATTTTATCGGTGAAATCAAGGGTTACGGTAATTCAATATTATACGAAATGAATTGGAAAGTTATTCAAACGCATAATAAACATTAAGAATTGCTAAACACATAGTTCATGTAATCAATAATAGATTACAGCTTCCTACACCATCAAGTCAATGCATCCAAATATCTTGTTAACAATTTTTATGCCTGCCTGCCACAGACTGCTAACTGAAAGTGTGGGTTCGGTATAGGACCAACTCATCTTACTCATCTTATTATCTTTCCTCTGTCTAGGATTAAATATGAAATTCTGATTCCACTCCATTTTGAAAACCATACTCTCAACATCTTTATTCCAACTATATACGTTGCACCATCTCACTCGTTTTTGGAAATCATACTCACAAATTTTATTCCAACTAAATATGTTGGGCCTTTATAATCTCACTTGCAAATATTGCTTTTAACTTTTCAATGAGAGTTATTTTTTGCAATATATTGTAATTTGCAATATTTTCTTACTTTTCCACAGGCTGCTCCAGGATATCATTCTGCGAAAATGATCATCAAGTTGATAACAAGTATTGGCAACAGAGTGAATAACGATCCTATCATTGGTGATAGACTCAAAGTTGTTTTCTTGGAAAACTACAGGTTGTTCGTCATAGATATATATTTTTTAAACTTGTGTGGTCTCATTTGTTTGCTTTTATGTTTGTTCTTAGTAGGTGAAAATTCCGTAGAATGATTTATTTAACATGGAAAGTTTTAAATTATCTTTTCTCCCACAGCTAAAGGGCCAATTGACTTCAAATTTCAGTAGGTAAAAAGATCGAAGAGGTTGTGGCTAGGCTATTGCTGTCATTTTTTTTTTCTTTCAAATTTTCAGATTTCAAAATTTTTTTTTTTTTTTTTTTTTTTTTCTTGAAAGTTTACAATAATATTCGTAAGGCATAAGCCACATATTATAATATTTAAGATGCGTTATTTCTAACATAACTGAAGTATTCCATTGTATTAATCCAGAGTTTCACTTGCTGAGAAAGTTATCCCAGCTGCAGACTTGTCAGAGCAGATTTCAACTGCTGGAACAGAAGCTTCAGGAACAGGCAACATGAAATTCATGGTGATTATATATACTGTTTTTTTTATAATAATCCAAAAAAAATGTGAAATTCATTTCACAATATTCTGTATGAATCAGTTTGGAAGAAAATCTGGAAAATAATAGAAAAGTCAAGAATTAAAGGAAACAATCGAAATTGACCGACTTTTAAATTTAGATAAATGCTTTTTTAGATGAATGGTGCTCTTACTATTGGAACATTGGATGGTGCTAATGTTGAAATGGCAGAGGAATTGACGAAAATGGCAGAAAAAGACAAATCCAAACTTGAAAACATCTTTATTTTTGGAATGGAAGTTCACGAAGTCAGTGATTTGGACAAGTGAGTATTGTGTATTACAAAGGTGGTTTTTACTTATTATACCAGGTAGCAGATGTGGTTGTAAAGTCTATATAGTCTGCGATAAATGTCCTTAGTTGTCGAAATGTCTGTAGGCCTACAATTTATATGGATTGTAATTTGAAATTGAAGCTATTCGATGAGACTTATTTTTGTAGTTTTCAAGAATTTACCCAAGTTAGAATTTAAGTTAATACAGAAAAAAATTTTAGGCTGACAAAATATTTGAATATGGTCCTCATTTTCTGGCCCACAATATGTAGACAGCTTTCATTCAAATTTGTAAATTAACTAGGAATGAATGGCAGTAGGTGTGCACTATTGTCACAATCATCAAAATGTTATTTCTGTGTGTTCATTCAGTGGTAAACCAAATAGCACCTTCAGAAATATTGATTCAGAGATCACAAGTCGAAATCTTTGAGAAGGCTTAGTCTTTTTTCCTAAATTTGATGGCGATCTCCTGATACACCATTGTGAATATTGACCATTGTTTTCAGACAAGGATATAATCCTCGATCATTCTATGAAAAATCTCCAGAGTTGAAGAAAGCAATAGATCAAGTTGCCAGTGGATATTTCTGTCAAAACGAACCAGATATATTCAAAGGTCTCACTGAACATCTGTTGCATCATGACAGATTCAAGCTCATGGCTGATTTTGACGCTTTTGTGAAGTGCCAGGAAAGAGTCAGCGAAGTATTTAAGGTTGGTAGTGTTTATTTCATTTGCGGTTATTGGACAGTAAGTGATTGTTTATCAATAGATAATCAAATTTTTATGATCTAAGACTGAAGAAGGCGCTAGAAGACTTTATAAATTCTTCTAGTCCTAGATAGGGTTGGTATTTCAGACTGAATTTGCTATATTTTATAATTCACTTCATATTTGGTACACCTTCATTTGGCGATCTCCATAACTTTTCCTAATTTGGCTGGGTGTTTGCTAATGTTGCAGTGTCTATGTCAGTCATTTGACTTTGGTATCAATAGATTTGAGAAGTTATCTTAAGTATTAGCAGTTGCTGGCAAAAGCTGTTGTGCTATAGGAAAGAGCTAAAATTATAACTTGTAATTATATTTGTGGTAAAAGGTTTGCTGCTCTAATGAATTACATATATTCTATATAGTTTATTGCTTAACTTGCTTTCTGAAATAGCAATGCCGAGTTCTTCAAAGCCTAAACTACGCCTTAATTAAGTGACCTGCTATTTCAGAATCCAGATGACTGGACAAGCAGATGCATCTGTAACATTGCAGCTTCTGGAAAGTTCTCAAGTGATCGAACAATTGCACAGTACGCTAGAGAGATCTGGGGCATCGAACCTCAACCTGACCTTAAAATACCTGCTCCTCATGAAGCTTTGGTACGATCTGGAGAACACCAGTTTAACGATTTTTAGTTTTTCTGTAACATGCTAACACTGCTTGCCGAATCATATCACTGCACATCATAATTTGGACGACTTAAAAGAGTGTTGTGTAATTTGGTCTAGAAAGTCAGCAAGGCGCTATATATACTTGTAATTTGTTCCATTGTCTTCGTAATAATTAATTATTCATACAATATTACCAAGTAAAGGTCAGTTTTTCTTTAATACAACCAAGTTCTTGATATAGTTCTCTAAAAACTTCCCTACTACTACTCAAAAGCGTTTGGTATTATTGCTGTTTTTCACAAAACTGTAATGTTCCATGTTTCGAATCATAATTTTTCCGTCCCACGCTAGTAAATAATTTAATGCATGCAATCCAATCCAGAATGCCGATGCAAATATAAAAGCATGGCATGGCGCTAACTTAAGTTCTTCTGTTTTTGCAATCTCATGTCTGCTGTCAATTTCCCTCTTGTGAATAAACAAGCAGAAAAACCATAACCTGCCTCTGGTAATTTTGGCTGACTGTTCTGTATCATTTCGTTTCCAAACTGGTTAGATTCTTTTTGCCACTGCATACATTATATATTTTGTCTGTATTTTTTCATTTAGCATGGAGTTTACTTTTGTTTCAAAATAAAAGAACAATATTTTTTTTCTTGTTGGTATATTCTGTTTGGAAAATTCAATAAAAGTTCATTTATACAGCTTCATTTGTGTGCGTGTCTGTTTGTCCTGTAACCTTACCTTAATCAAAGCTGATCATTTGCATGGCTCACTCTGTCCTTTCTGAGGACTGCAATCAGTGATTTGCATGAAAATACGGAGCGATTGGGTATATGACTAGATGTATCGGTCGCGCTGTAGTAGTTCTTAATAGGGATTTAACTTTTGCGCCCGAGCGTATTTGCTCGACATTAATGGCGTTTCTGAGGAAAACCGTTTGATTGCTGGAGTGACGATTTTGTGATTTACCATTATTTACTAGTCGGTTTTATGCCCCTACGTGTGGAACGATAAGTGAACACCAAAGCCGGAATATTGTTGCACATAATGAGTCGCGCTAGATTGCAGAGAATAAAGTTCGACCATTTCCTAGTTAATAATTGATGACTTGTGTGCAGCGCAAACAACCAGTCCCACAAGTTCAGAACTATCATACATAGTCTAGCGTTGAGAAAATTTGTATCTGAAACTGCCCGACATTTTGAAAATGGATTGTCTGATTTTGCTAAATGGCTTGCTTCTTTATGATTGTTTTATTCCTCTGTAATGAACGGACGTTGCCGATTATCAATTAAATACGCGAGTTCGACGGGTATATCTTCCTCTCAAAATAATTGCGAACTCTTTTTCGTATTTTTGAAATTAATCGCTCAAAAATAGTGTAGTCTCCGCCACCGGAAAGTTTTTTGGGGTGAGAAGGTATATTTTGACTTGTTGAGCTGGTTTGTGGGCGACGACGAGCAGCAACAGAAGGGCCCCGACTGCCCTATCCCCCACGTATTTGTCACACACTTTAAAGAGACAATGTCTTTACTTATCAGCTCAATACCATTCGGTACAATACGATTAGGTAATTAAACAATAAGTAATGAACAGCTTACTCACTATTTTACCATGCATGACAATGTCCTAATCAAGCGTGAAAGTATATTAAAAACTGGATGCGGTGAGATGGCTCGGGGCTCTTTAACTCGATTATGTTCAGTGAAAAAACAAATTATGACGGTTTATAATTTTTAAGAAACTCTAAATCAACTGGTTTGACTTCGTCTCATATTAATAATGTGAAAAACATTAACTATTGGGCTATATATAGTAAAATGTTACCAAAATAATATAATTATCCCAAAAAATTTACTAACTTCGGCAACAAGGTAATCATCATCACCCTTATGTTTTTGTATTCAACTGTTTCTGTTTTTGCACAGAAAAAAGAGAGAGAACCGAAGCAGAATCTCCCTTCATTCTGAGCAGGACTATGGGGAATCACATTTTTAGATGTTATTTGTATTCAGTGATGCTTTCTGTAACCTAGTAGTTTTTATTATACATTAGTAGGATTTGTTTATGTATTTTATTTTATTGGTCACTCTACTAGCTGGTGTTGAAATAAAGAGTTTATTACTGCACTCACATTGCTTGTTGTTTCTGGAGTCAACTGAAAAAATATCGTATTCATCAAATATAAATTATACTCAGATTTTACTAAAACGTAGTTGTGAATCACAGCGGGAGCTGTCAAACAGGAGAAAACTTCCCGACATATCCACATCAATCTGGGTATATTTCGTCGCCATACCTCGTGGTATACAATATCTCATTCGTTTATTTCTTATCAATAGTTTTTTCCAGAGTTTAGCAATAAATGACATTTCCTAACCGTTTAGCCCATTTTCGATGACACTCTCATCGGCTTGAATATCCATAACTGATATGTATCTGGATATGAAGCTAATATTACAGCTATCACTAGAAATACAATCAGATAATACTTGTTAGAGTATTGGTGTTAAATAAAACTAACTAAATTGTGGTAACGGAATATGTATCAATGTTGAAGTAGTAGTAGATGTGCATTGAGATGGTGATGATATTCTGTAGTGTGAAACATCCTGTGTGATCTGTCATTTCAAGTTAAGAAGTGTTCCAACGAACACCTGAAAGGACAATTATCATAGCCCCAAATTTGTGACCGCTTTACAGAATAAAGGAAACCTTTTTCTCTCTGGATTGTGATTTCCTCTAAAATTCATTGTAAGTGTCTGCACTATATAATATCTCACATCTAGGAACTAACGAGATATTGAGATTATGAAGGAAATCGACTCATATACTGTTTAATCTCTAATTGAATTTTCCGCGAAAGCTCTGATCTGAGTTTCATTATGCTTTCAATTTTCATCGATTAAATATCTCTTTTGTTGAAAGCCTAAATTGTAAAAAAAAATGAATATTATCTTATTTATGAAATCAAAAGATATTTAATTTTGGCTAGTTCAACTCGCCTCCCTAATGCAAATAATGAGGTGTGGTATAGATTGAGATAAACAGTAAAAATTAATATCTTTTATTCTTAATTACTAGAAAACAAATAAAAAATACACTACACATTTGCATAAATGGAAATAAACCTATTTGAACAAGTCAAAATTTTTTTGTAATTAGTCTGCTCAATCTTTTTCCATCAGATGACATTGTGACAAATTCATATGTTGCACCTTTCTTGAAGGTGTCTACTGACTGGGGTGAAGTTAAACTGGTCCAATTTACATCACCATTAAGACGGTATTTGAACTTTAACCCTGGATAGACTGAAGCCAGTAATAACTTGTCATTTTGAATTTTAATACCGGGTGGTGGAACTCTGTAATGTATGTCAAGTTTATCAAGCCTTCTGAGCTCTTTGTATCCAATTGTATTGGCAAAGCTTTCCCAATCTTCCTCTTTTGATTCATTCGAACCATTTTCCCACTTTGCTTCATGCCATGCCCGTTCCGCAAGTGCCAACAACCTTGGAAATTGCATATATTCAAACATGTTCTCACTTCTAAGAAGTTCTCCCCATATTTGAGACTGCACTCCCAATACAGAACTTCTGTTAAGAAGCTTTTCATGGTCAAATTTTTTAAACCTTTTATCCTGACAGGAATACATATCTAAAGGGGTCATTCCAAACACAGTTTTGGTGTCGAGCATTCTCACACACCAATGAAGACCACATTCTTCGGGATCTGGTTCATAAGGATGATCAAAATATGTATGAGTAGCAGATGAAATAACAACTTGATACCCAGAATTTGCAAGTATATTCGGATTATGCTTATCATTTTTTCTGCTGATTCTCCAAGCATGTACAAGTTTAGGACAGTCTGACTTCTGTTGTACTGTTGGATCTCGAATCCCATCATTCCACACAGCAAGCTGAAGATTTTCTTTGCGACAAATTTCTTCCACATAGCTTAAAAAATACTCTTGTAGAGCGGATGTCATTTTGACTGACTCATAATCCTCATCAGTTTCATCAATATATGGATCATTTCCATCAAGGTTATTTTCTTTGTAATATACTTGGCATATGCTTGATCCGTCCCAGGCACCAACTGGGACCTCATCGCCACCAACATGGAAAATTTTCAAGGGCTGAATAGGTTCATGCAACTTTTTCAAAGATGAAATAATTTTCTCTACAAATCTTCTACTTCCTTCTAAACAGGGATTGATTGTGTTGTTTGTATATTTTTGATCGGATGTATACGATGCATTATCGCTTAGATCTGATAGCATGAATTCTTTTGCCGCTTCCATATTTCCAGCTTCTCTGTACTTGTTGTATCTGGCTGCCATGGACAGTACAGCAGCATATGAATGTCCGGGCATGTCAATTTCAGGTATAACTTCAACATGATGTTCTTTCGCATATTGCAAAATATTCTGATAATCTTCAACAGTATAAAAGCTACATGCATCTCCCTTAGGACCAGACCCTAATGTTGGTTCAACAGCTAGCCCCGTTTTTGCTAAATCGTGGTCTCTTTTTGCACCAATTTCAGTCAATTCGGGCAAATCCTTAATCTCAAGTCTCCAACCTTCATCATCAGTGAGATGAAAATGTAATTTGTTCATCTTGTACATTGACATAACTTTTATCATTTTTAGGATTTCTTCTTTTCTTACAAAATTTCTGGCAACATCAATGTGAATCCCTCTGTACTGGAATCTAGGTGCATCAGTCATCATCCCACATGGCAGAGAATAATTTTCTTCATCATTTGCTTTACTCAGTAACGAAAACAACGTTTGTACAGCGTAAAACATACCACTAGGAAACTTGGAAGTAATATTGATAATTGGACCCTCAGATTTAATTTCAATCACATAGGCTTCGTTACTGTTATATTCATTTTTAACATCGCCTTGCTTCAGGCATATGACATGTGATTCTTTAAATATTTTTGATTCTTGTAAATGTAGCCGTTCAGCAAGTAAGTTAACTTCATTTTTGAATATATCAGTATTATCAGCAACATATATCACCCATTCTTGGGATATATTTATCATATTGTCATTATCAAGATCACAAATAAGTGGAGTGGGTATAACAAGTTTAACCGCATCACCTCTATCTTTAACAAAATATTTGTCATACCTTTCTTCTGGTGTGAAGGGATTTGATTTGTCTAATTTTCCCTTCTTCCACTTTTTTGAAGAGTCAAAACTTTCTACAAATGACAAATTTTCATCAGCAGTTGATTCCAATACTCTGGATTCTAAGCCTTCGGATGCAATGTACCAGTTTGGAAAAATTGATGAACGAGACACAGTTGGTTCATCCGAACTTAAAGAAACTTGTAGTTTTTCACCTGGTTTTATTCCAGCAAAATGATCTGTTGGGTACAGCTGAAACAATCCCCCTATAACATGATCCGTATCTATCTCGATGTTTTCGCTAGCGATTTGGCACATGTGATATAGGTAAATTGTCCAGTCATTTTTCCCTTCAGGGATAGTTTGGTTCCCTCCATTTGTTAATGTTATCCTGCTCTTGCATACGGGCCCAAAATTAGTTACAACTTCGTAAATCACCTTTATATTCTTTCCTATGTAATCCAGAAGATCCTGACCCGCGAGCATCGTTCAGATTTCTTAAAAATAAACCTTAAAACAAACGCACAACGAGGAAAAATCGTTGCACACAGGTTGCGAATAAAACGGGAATTCCCCGAGTTGTCGCATTGTTGATCAATACTGCTGCAGCGGCACTGTACCTGATTTCGTTCCAAACGCCCATTAGCGTGGACGCATTCCCGCAAAAATTGCAACACTTGCACAAAGTTTGAAAACGAGTAGAGTCATGCGGGCGTTTTTCAATCCAAAAAAAGAGCTAATAGCTGTGATGAGCTGCCCCATTTCCGTGTTTACACACGTTTTCGAAATTGTAGCATATGGGATTCGTGTGTATTCTATTATCGGGGAGCCGCGCTCTAAATTTCTTAGTGTTGAAAACAACTCAAACCAACCATGTTAGATAAAACGTCAAGACATTTGTTGATTCCGCCGGAAGATACCGTACCTGATTTCGAGATGGTTGCTTGAATATCACGACAAGAAATCACTTTTAACAAACGCTTTGACCAAAACGTCGATCAAATGATAATCAAACTGGTCGATCGCAATTCGCACCCCCTATACAAGACCTCAAACTGAACAGCAGTCCCATCAAATGCTCAGCCGGTTACGACTGCCTGCGTCATCAAGCCCATACATTAACTGGACTAGATGCAGTGCTTCGCCATGGGATTGAGCAATCTTACAGACTTCCCTCTCTAAATCTTTTTTGATATAAGTCATCAAGCACTAACTATAAGAATGACATATTCAACCCCATAACATAACGAGTTTACCTTGTTAAAATTAAAATACACCTGCCACTGAACTGACAAAAGTAAGAACTCCATGATATAGATGGTATCCTAAAGTGGGGAACTTTTATTGGAATCATGTTTATTTATATGCACCAAACGGTACAAATCGTTGCTGAACAATCATAACATGGTGCAGTTCAGCTAATTCAAATTGTTAGGCATGGATCAAATCTTTCGTAACTAGAGAAGCATAAAGCACACCAAAAACATGTTTGGCAGCTGGCCGTCGAATGATGATATACAAACCTGTTATAGCTACTGAAATACTCAGCCCCAGTTGCTTGGAACTTCAAAACTAACAGAGGGCTCCTTAACTGAATCCTTATCCATTTCTTCATCTTTTGGATCAGTGTCTGAAATCAGCAGTGATGGGAGATCAGTCCTTGCAATTGAAGTGGATGCATCCACATCAATAGGTGTAGCAGAGTCTTGAGAGCGCTTTCTCTTTACATCTGGCTCATCAATGTCTAATGAGTTGAAACAATTAGATGTTGATGAGATTCTTCGAACTGACAGAGGTTTTACTGCAGTTGATTCCTCACCGGATCTTTTACGATTTGCGATTAGTGATTTTGGAGTATCAGTCCCTGAGCTGGGAGTTGGCTGTACAATGCTGGTACCACTTGTAGTGGAAACTGCAGTTGTACCATTGTTGGGACGCCACACCTTATTTCTTGAGTATGTTGCAGGATTGTAGCTATGTTTGAATGTGGTTGGGGTCAAGAATATTTGACCAGCAATATCGCGCTGGTATTCTTCATAAGTTCGAACTGTATAAAGATTTGAATCCACACCTCCAGGCTTGATCAGAAGTTTCTTCACCTGTTTTGCCTAAAAAAATCAAAGCATTATATTATGAATAAAAAAGCATGAGAGATTTAGAACCAAAACGATCTACTACATTTTATTTTATTGTATTTTAATTGTACTAAAAAAAGCTTATGAATTTCTTTGCAAATCATATTCCAGAAAGCATCCGGCTTACCGTTGCATAATTGTACTTAACATTAACAACATCCTTACCAGCACACTTCAGATGTCTCTTCAGGGGGATTTCAAGTTTGAAGCCCATGGGAGATGATTACGAGCCAAATGATTGCTGGACTCCTCTCTGTTGTAGGGTAGTTCACGTAACCACTGGTCACTTCCCCTTTATCAAGTTATTATCAGCTTTCCCATTACCCCAGACGAATCCCAAGATACTATCCTATCCTGCTTCTCTCCTAGTAATTATATTACCCACCTACCAAGCACAATAGATTAGTTAATAACCTGTGATTTGTCATGAAGTCCAACAAAACATTGCACATCATTGATCCAAGATATATAGACAGCACTTCCGATTGGACCAAACAACATTCGAACATCGTTAGCTCGCCAGGTTGGTGGAAATTGTACATGAAAAACATGGGCTCGAGATGGTGTTAAATCATTACCTGCTAAGTTCAGATATGGGATGTCTGGACTCCTCATCAGAAAAACCTTCGAACAAAAATGATAAAAAACCTTTTCAAATATGGAAATCTTATGTCCACAAATTTAACCTTTATAAATACCAAATAATTTAAGTTTTGTGTGAATTTCATACCACGATTGATAATGGAAAGATTATTAAAATATTTAAATAAACCTAACTTTACATGATGTATTTATTCTATAAAAGGATGATCATATAGATCAGGGTGGTCCAAACCCAGGCCCGCGGGCCACGTGTGGCCCGCCGCTTCATTATCTGTGGCCCGCGTCCCATTCGGAGTGTAATCAAAAAATCGTGTTGTTCCGTAATAAAATAAATCAGGAAAATCTTTTGACATATTGTTACATCACTAATTTCACTGCATTGACTAGTGTTATGGCTAGCTGAGGCAACTAGTGAAGTTGAATGATGTGCTTGGCAGTCCAAATTATTATCTGGCTTTCCATCTTTTTGGTCGAGAATATATGCTAACAATATAGGCATCCTAGAAAACAAAATCGAATGCGGATTCTATTAGCCTTGGATGGCTATGTCTGATAACTATGTGTTTGCACAATATAAGTGTTTGTTTTGTATTACACTGTTTACCTATTCTTGGCACTATTGTGGACCGCGAACAATGCAAAAATAAATTTGTGGCCCGCGGAGCCCACAACCTTGGACCACCCTGATATAGATACCGGTAGTTAAAGCCCTGTTACCAATCAGAGTCAGGCGCATAAACAGCTCACAGGTTCAAAATTTTAGGATGTCGGGACAGTCGTCAAGATATCATTGTAAGTATAGAGAGTGAGGATGTAAACTAGCTGTTTAAAAGCTAGCAAATCTAGTTCTAGTATTACCTTATGCATTCTAGATCTTCTCGAGAAGACTATGAAAAGGACAATTATTTATTTAGATTGATATACTCAATCTGAAAAATATTCAACCCACTACCTATTTCCGTACCTTTATCCCCACCCACCCACCTTATTCATGTATGGTGAAATAACATCAGATGATGGATTAGCAAGAGCTTGAGATTTTCCCTGTTTTCTAAATGATGACAAGAAATTGAGCATCGACAAAAATGAAACACCTGAAACGAAGTAAAGTATAATTTGGATGAAACAAAAAATATTATTTTGTTTTTATATCGGATGTTTATGAATAATTCATTTCTGTGAATAATATTTTTGGATAGGATTATTGGTTCTTTTCGAAATTACCTCATGTTTTACTTGAAACTTGCCTAGATCGCTGTAATAATAAATATTTGAAAAACAGAAAAGTTGAAAACTGTATCGATTTTGTTCTGCAGTTGTCATCAGTAAATAAGAGAAATTGTCTAAACATCAGATAATCAGATCCGTTAATCAAGCATTCACTACACATAGTAGTGGGGTAAATAGTGTAATAAATTAAATAGGAAAGGCCAACTGGAAAAATTCCAGTTCTTCTAAAAACAGTAGTTCTTCACAGAATTATGCCTGCTTGCACTTAGCCTTGCTCATAGTGGAAAGGGTGTCATATAAACAAATAACTAATTATTAAAATACTAATATCATACCCTTATATCTCTCCTAATACATATACTCACTGTAATTTATCCATGCCATGGTGAAATTTGGCATAAGAAATATCTACATGGCAGAATGATATAAACCTAACCTGTAATATATGCATCATATGCCGCTTCATGTAAATTTATGTCCATGTTATGATCTGATTTAGAAGGATCATACTTGTCGGGAGGAATTATGTCAGGAATACAGAAAGGATGACTTGCCAACCTGTTGTGCATTTCACCAAGTGCAGTTGAAAAAATTAATTCCTGAATTAGATGAAAAACTTTGGTTTAGGCGTTTTACTTAGTATTCTTTGAAACAATCAAGATGTGAATAAACTCGAAAAAACTTTCTGAAACAATTTGACACTGAATACACACTCGACACTTCTGTGGAATCAAATTTTTTTTAAACCTTAATATGTACGAAGGGATAGTACAACCAGGGTCCTTAAGGAGTCCGTAAAGTAGTTTTCTGGAGTAAGATGAAAACAAAACTGTGAAACAAAGGGATATTCAGATAAGGTTCCTTTCAAAATATAATTGAAGTTATTTAATTACGAAACTTAACTTTATTATGTTCAATTTGATGATGAATACTATTTGCTCGCGAGTAGCTTACCCATGATACATTTTTAAACACCCTTCAATTTCAAGACATAGGGAGAACTAGTCTAGTAGGCTATTAGGCTAACTATTAAATGAAAAAATTATGAATGTAAAGATAGAATAACCTAGCAATTAAAAACAAGCTCATTGTAAAGCGTAAAGAAAAAGGAGAAAAAATTGAAAAACTTACCCGAAATGGCAGCATACTTCCCATGAGTTTTGTATCAACAATTTTTGGAAAAGTGCAACTTAATAATGACTTAAATTCTTCTAAAGTTTGCGGTAAAGGTCGAACAAATTGCTGAGTCGTGAACATCAAATCCAATAACATATTATGTCCAATCAATAATTTCTGGCTTCGAGTAAGAAGTTGGATAATTCTGCAAGTAAAGTGTTATTCGAAGTGGATCGTCTTGCATCCTATTTTTTCAGTAGTGGAAGGTACCATTTTAGCTAACTTCTAAGAAATCTTCAAGGAATTTCGTAGATGTTGAAAGGTGTAGACAACTAAGTAATATAATTTGGACAACTGAGCACAACATGCCACAAATAATATTACCTTATTCTCTTTTTCCAAACGTTTTAACGTCAATGATGAGTGTTGCTGTACTTTTTATTTTAACCTAGTGTGTATCATATTTCTTCTGCATAACTTGACTGGAATATATGGATGTGCATGCTAGTTTACAGCGGACGTCACATAAAAACTTGAACATAACTGGTATAGCTATATTAAAAATTAGGGTGGCCATTTCATTAACTTCATTTAAACTCTTTACACAGCAGTCAACTTGTTTGTCTTTAGTATAAAATGAGACCTTTGATTGATAGATCATACATAAAAATTGTGATTTTGATGTACCGTAAACAGATTTTGAAATGAATTTGTCAGGCATAATTTTTTCATAACAAAATAGGATAAATGACTCTCCTCTCTACTCACCGAGAGAAACCAATAGAGTCTTGTAATAATGCTTCATCCTTTGCTCTCGCTTGATCTTTCCGTTGTTGCATAGCTTCTGGACTTCCAACACGCAAAACTACGAGATACCTTTGTTTTGTTTTTTCATTAACGTGAGCTTCTAATGCAAGAGGTTCAGGAAACATTGTTGGAATGGTTTCATACAGAATCTTTCTGAAATTTTACAATTATCTGTAGATTTTTCAAAGCAGTTCTTCTCAAACAGTGGGGCACGCCCCACAAGGAGAGCAATAGAAAATTTTTTGAGAGGGTGTAAAGCTAATTATAAAGGAAAATTAGATTTGATCTTGCCCGCCTTATTTGTTTTTCAAACTGTTCATTTATTTCATTATTTACATTCCATTCCCGTATTTTCAACGTGTTTTCTGAATAAAATATAGTTTTGCCTTACTGTCTGTTAATTGTAGCTTATTGTTAGCTGGTTATTTTCGAGGTAGGGCGCGAGACTCGACAAGTTCTAAAAAGGGTACGCAGCCCAAAAAGTTTGAGAACCACTGTTTTAAAGCAATGTAGTTTACAGTTCTGTAGTAGCATATGGAAATAACACAGACATAGGCTACATATGAAAATTTATTCAAAGTTTGCGCAGCAAATAAAAACTGATTAATATAGCCTTAAGATTTGCTGGGTATCAGTGCTACATAATATAATTTTCTACATAGGTGAGTAGACTTTGGCATGGCGCATTTGTACTAATCCAAATAGTCCAAAACAGTCCAATGTAACAATTCAGACACCTTATCTAGAGTGAAATAAATTGGGTATACTATGTCAATTTATAACAAACTTGGTAGTCATGATCATGAATGTCCTAAACAAATATTAGAATCAATTTGGTAATAATTATTCAATGAATAGTCACAGTATGACTAAAAATTTCATTTTTTCTGCAAATTCAATTCATTGAATATACATCAACTAGACTACTACAGAAAATAGGACTTTACAAATATACATTCAAAACAGTGAACTATTGGATTTTGTTCTGCTCTACTCGTAGTTCCATGTCAATTTAATTCTTTGAACCATTTGGCATTTGCATCAGGAATAATTTGAAATTTATATAATCAAATAAAGCACTTTTTCTTAAAGATTAAGATTAGAGTATATATATTACCTTAAATAACTGTTACAAGGTTCTAATTCTAATGAACCGCCTTCATTTGATGTTTTCAAGAATGTTTCAATTTTGGCTTTTATTCCATCAACAAATGCTTGTGTTTTGGGATCAGATATAACAGTTGGACTTCCCGCGGGACTTGTGTCTGTCGATGTCGAGTTTCCATTGTTTTCCAAACCTTCATAAAAAATGAACAAAATAGAATGACTTTCCATTGTTCATTGTCTATAAATTATATAAAGGAGCATTTCAATAGTAAAACACAGTTAGGCTGAAGTTTTATGTCCATCACTTTGCAAAAAGAAACAAGAGTCCATACAAAAGAACTTCCTACTTTTTCTTGGTGATTTATAATTCTGTAATCTCATGATGTGTTTTTCATTTAACGCTGCACGCATTGATGCTTCTTCTGCTGATCTTAGATATGAAATTCCACTGTGAAATACTTTATTGAAATCAAAATTTTGCGCAGTAAGAAAATCTATACTTGATCCTTGGCACGAAAATATTCTGTTAAAAATAATTCACAAAGAATTTTACGATTTATATGAAAATCTTAAAGCAAACCTGAAATAAATAAATAAAATTTCATTCGTTAGTGTCATTAAAAAGATTTTCAAATACGTATTCAGATACATATTTAAATATGTACTTGTCAAAGACGAAATAGCAGTATATTGTTAATAAGCTTTCGTTAGATCATAGTCTCAACTTCAAATAAAACAGGATATAATTGTAAAGACAAAGATCATAAAAATTTTAGAATCAAGATGAATTCGTATAATCGTTATCTACCTATATATTTCATCTGAAGAAGTTAGAATATGATCTAATGAAAGCTCACAAATTTACATGCTATTTCATGGAAGAAGATCATGCTATACTTATTCATCACTTCAGTGCTATCTCATTTAATCATCCTTCTGGTAATAACCACATACAGGAAGTGAAAAGTAAGTAAAGAAAGGGTCAGCAGGACAGCAGGTCAATACACAATATCCTAGTACCAAATAAATGCAAAAATTAAATCTAATTGAAAATATCAACCTGTCAGGAATTCCTGATCCAGAAGATCGAAAAGGAAAAATATAAAAATTGAATGCTTCCGCGATATATTCCTCTTTTTCAGGGTTCCACTTAAAGGTTACCAAACCTGATAAAGAGAAAAAAGACCAATAAACTAAATAAAGATTATCAAAATTTAAGTGCATATAAGCAATATTCAAGGTACAAGTGCAGAAAAAATAAAAGATACTCTGAAATTTCTAAATATGTAGACAAACTCTTTATGAAATTAGCATTTTATATTATTAGCTTAAAACATAACTACCGGTACATTTTACAAAAGCAAATTTTGGCTAGATGAGAGTAGAATTTTCATATTAAGTGATAACCTAACCATGGTCGGTTGCGACCCCATGTCTGGTATGGAAATAAGTAACCCATTACTTGTTACAGATATATTATGAAATCAGATGACATTGAGAAAAAATAATTTTGCGTTGATATACAGAAATCATAAATACAGAAATATGGGTGCTCCAGAAGTATTCATACCAAGATGGCGCACAACCTGAACATAGTAGTGTATCAGGTTAGAATTGTTCAGGTTGTGCATCATCTTGGTACGAATACTTCCGGAGCGCCAAAATATGTATCCAAAAGTGGGAAATTATAGCTACAGTACACTTACCAAACTGCATAAGTAAAAAATCAGCGACATTATGCTTTAACTTGTGATATCTTTCTTCAGGTGAATCGTAATTAGTCAAATTGAACGTTGAATTAGTAACTCCAGAAAATTCACCATCCACGGCAACAAAATTTGCTTCTGAAACTGCTTTTTCAACAATTTCATACGTTTCCTTGAAATTATGCCTGGTAATATCCATTTTTATTGATCGAATTAATTTCTAAAGACTGGAAAACATTGAGATTGTAACAATGAACACCTTGTTCAAATATCAATAATTGGAATCATAATATGTTTATATGAATTATCATAAAACATATTATGATTCCAATTATTGCATCCTATGAATATATATGATTGATGATACATGCTGATAATAATATATAATTCGAATCATATTGCACAATTGAAGTACCGAATTATTGCAAAATTTGAACTAGTTAATAAAAAGGTAAGGCATAATATTAAATTGTCAGTTTATTTTATGAAGGGTTATTAGGGAAAAAAATATTGATTAAAAGTAAATTAAAACACTTTGGCACATATGATCGATGATTGCTAATATGTAATATTGGTAAGGTCATACTTAAATAGCAAATACTTTGGGATATTGTACCATTTCGTTAATAAGGAAAGATAGAAATTCAATATTAATATGCAGAATAAATTGTTACAATTTTGCTAACTTACTCAAATATACTCAATTGTTAATAGGTAATTAAACACACCATGCTAAAGATGCAATGATTTTGGCAATATTTTATGCAAAATAACTGGACAAAAAAGAAACAGATATTAACATATTCAGATAAACAGATAGCATAATGCATTCTAATTCATAGAAACTGCAATTTTATAATAAAAAAATAATTCCCTGCTCTTGAATACATACATAATAATCTTGAATAGATAACTGGCAATCAAAAAATATTCACTGAAATTCAAATGATTTTTTCGATAGCTTTTTAGCACATACATTATACTGAGTTGTCAAATAAAATGCAATGCCTTTTTCATAATATGCTGCCTCATTAATAAACGCTGGGTAAAATGGACCGCTACTTGAATCCTCTATTATGTCTTTGAGATAAAGAACATTGCCATCAAAAGACAAAAATACAGGATCGTTCAACGTCAACAATTTCCAATCTTGATCTTGAAGACTTGGATGAATCATTGCAGTAAGATGACCTTCCACATCTTGTGGGTACGGTATTTTTGTAACAGCTTTGTATGCTGAAAAATTGACTTCTGGAAATTCCTCACCATTGTTATAGTTTTCAATGAAGTCAAGAGCAAAGTGAACTGATGACTCTTGCAAAGACATTATGTCAGCTCGCAACACACCCTGTGGCTGGGGACCAACTTCTATACCAACTCCCCCATATTTTCCTAATCCTCTACCAGAATCATAACTCACATTGCCAGCAAGGGACATAATATAACACATTCCCTCTGGTAAATGTGCTGATACATAATGCATTAAATGCATATTAAAGTCATTCGATTCCATGTGAAGGAGACTAACTTTATTATTTGCTGTTGTATTGTGTAAATCAAGTATAAACTCACATTCACCAATTTCTCCACCTTCACTCAACATTCCTTTCAGTTCTTTTGCTCTTCTAACTTCATAGGGTGTGTTTTCATTTATTTCAACTTTAAAATTTTCAGGAGACATTTGCCTGTTCAAATCAACATCCTTATACCGTCTAACCAATTTCACAGCAATTGGATTAGCAATTAACATCTTTGTTTGGAAGGTTGATCTGGTAACTGATTCTGGATTTTTCTCCCATTTTCTCACCAAATGAACACCGGACATCTCATTGCCATGCATTCCTCCAAATATGCAAATTTGTTTCATGGAAGCCATAATCTTTGAATTTAAAAGTTTGCCAAGATAATTGAGAAACTTTTTGTGATTACCTTGCGTATTTGCAACGCCGATAAAAAGCAAATTCTCATTTGGTCACTGTTCCCCCGAACTTTGACCCCATAGATTTATTTCTTAATCTTACCCGTAAATGAATGGATGTTTCCCTGAACATCGAATTCCTTGTTTATTGCCGTAACAATGACCAATCAGCAATACGGCAACATTGAAGTAACAATTGGAATTTATGCGGCCGCTCAGACACTTCTTTGGCTCAAACAGATATTAAAGAATGGTTGTAAACATTGCCTCGTTTTGTGTTTTGCGTGTTGGTATTTCTCAGTTTTCAGTTGTGTTTCCGAAAAATAGTTGTAAATCAAATGTCTTATTTGGAATCATGCCTTCCGAAGACATTCAGTTTAGTTGAAATAATTAAAAGTTGATTACAAGCTAAAAGCAACTATTTGATTTAAAATATTCAATCACTTACCAATAAAATGCCGAAAACCTAATTAACATACCTACTATATATGATTGAATTTTTACATATTGCATTTATTATAAATGTTTTATTGTTTCTTATTTAAATGCTGTGTATATGAATCAATGAATTCATTTTACCTTTCCATTACGTAATGTTTGCCTCTAATGTTACGTAACAATGGAGATAGAGATATTTGCTTCAATTTAGCAAGATGCAGTTTATTTATCTGCTGGATCGAGTTTAGCGATGTTTGCCTATTGCAAAACCAAAAAGATTGTTGTAAACTTGATAATGAACTTGTCAAAAAGCTAGGCCGACGGTTAACGAAAATACCACTACCCTCAAGAAGTTAGTCCGACGGTGACGCGATATTAAACGGTCGTCAGTATGGCGACAATTTCACACGATCCCGAGTTCGTCATGTCGACCACTTCAGATGTATTTTTGATTCATTTTCCACGGAACACTCGGAAGACGCTCGCGGAACACAGTTTGGAGAAACGCTGAGTCCTAGTCCATAACAAGAAATCTATCATACACGTTTTGAATGATTAATAATCTATGTTCAGCATTTATTCTGAATTAAAACGTGTTATTTATAGGTAAATGGCAATCAATTTTCAAATTTGGTATATTAGAAAACCTCGTAATTTTCTACTTCGTAATTTTGTTTTTAATAAATTACAATAAAAGGCATCCCCTCCAATGAAGCCCTAGTGTTATTTTTCGAAAGAAAAATTTCAGGGAAACACAGTAAGATAAAATTTGAAACTGTATTTAATAGCAATGACATTAAACAACATGATGCGCAACTCCGGCATTTTTGTCCAAAGATCGTATTCGATAGCACGCTCCAATGCACATACTTGACGAGACGAAAACGAGCGGTTGTGTGCTGCTTTCAAGGCGTAGCACGAATGGTGTTCGTGCCTGCTTTGACAGTTGTTGTCGATTTTAATGATATTTTTGAAAGTTGGGGTAAAAAGAAATCGGTAAAAGGTAAGGTGAATGCTATTGTTGTATATCACACCCGGGCATCGCACTGTTAAGTACATGTGGGAAAGCCAGCCTTTGTCAAATACTACGAAGTTATTAATTCAGTACGGTACGTAGTTGCCCATTTGCCGAAATTACATATTTACTTACCCCTTATGGTTTCAAATAGTTCATGCACCTCCAGTTAGATTTTTTTAATCAGTGAGGATATATACTCATTGTTGATTGCTGCTCATTGTAACATACTATTACGCATTCACTTTTATTTGCGTATTGAATCAAAGTGTTAACAAGTTCACCTAACATTTCACTCATACCGGTCTATATTGTATAGTCTGATTTCTCAAGTATTTGGAGCCACGAATGCTTGTAATTTTCTGACTAAACCCTTTTATTAGTTGGTTTATATACCAAATTCAGTAAAATATTTTTTAAATAAAACATAAGATATTGGATTTATTAGCTTTTCCATTCTGAATCATATAGACTGCTTTATTTATTCTTAACGAAAATTAATAAATCTCCTCTCTTTCTTCAGATGTGAAAGTTGTGGACAAACCTGTCTAAGCATTGTGAGACTCTTGCAGCACAAGAGGCAATAGCAGAAATAGTAAGTATATCAATCAAGAAATTAAGCCGACATAAAGCAAAACTTTCAACTATTCGTCTAATCTCAATTTCCTATTATTTATTCACAGGACAACTATAGCAGACGGGGAGATATCAGAAGTCTGGCGACATATCAGTGACAGTGTGATTCCAAGAAATATAATGCATTTGAAAATAGAAAATTGCAATAGAAAAACAACCTATGGAGGCATGCAAAGACATTTGACCCTCCGGTAGAGTTGTGTATGGCCCCCACATCCTGCAGGGCTTGAGGAAAATAACTAAAAATTCCAAAGCGTAAGATTGCATAAGCGGTCTTATTTGTAAAAAGGCACAAAACACGCCAGACATACTTAAAACAGCTTTGGCAATGAGGATTACGGGTACCTCACTGCACCTGTGTTATATTTGGTTCATCAACTTTTGGTAGTACTATAGAAGAAATTCCGGAAGGGGTATAATCATCTTTCATGATAAAATACTATCATATATTTTTTGAACAACTTCAATCTAGACCAGGGATCTCAAACTCGCGGCCCCAGAGAACTTCCAGTGCGGCCCTCGAACGTTTAACAATAATTGTAATAGTATTTTGGAAGTTTTTTTATTTTTATCTAAATGTAATAGATTTTTCAAACCTTCTAAAGTGAAATTGATTATTCACACAGAAAACAATTTACTGAAAGTAGTTTTGGAATATTGATTTTTTTTGTCCACATTTTGACCCAATTAAGAATACACATCAAGCTAGCAAAAGAATACTTGAATAAAACACTTGAGTAATTAAATTAAACGCAAAGTACATGAAGAAGGTGGCATTTTCGAAGAAAATGGGAGTTGTAACATTTCTGCTCTTCACAAAATTCTGAAGCACATTGTTTAATTTGTCATATTTCCATCAATACATCCAAAAAACACAATAAGCTCAGCAGTCAATATGACAAATTCGAAGACCAACTTCGAACAGAAAATTTTCATGTGTTTGTATATTAATATAATTATACAACGACTTAGTTACTAAAAATCAATATCAATAATAATTCAAGCAATCCTATGCCACGCAATGTAGTGCGAAATGTCTTGTCGAAAAAATCTGTCATTTGTTTTTTTACTGATCTATACATGAAATGATAAAAGTAACTTTTTTGCATTACTGGAATTAATTAAACATTCGTAAAGATCCAGATAAACCCATGATCATGTGGCCTCGTTAGTTAGAGTTGGTACTATAAAATCATTTCAGACTGGCCTTAGTATGCTGGTGACACAAAAAAGATGCCAAACGCCAGGACAAATGTAATTATTAAAACATTGAGTTTATACTGTAGTATTTTTGTTAATTTTAGGTTCATATATTTAGATTAAGTTATTTTTAGTGTATGTAGTATTCTTTCCTTATTCAAAGCTTGTTCAAAAATGATTTTGATGGTTGTACATAGAATTTTACGATTTTTTATAATAAATACTGTAACTTGCAAATGTTGCAATAATAGTGGAATGCAAATATTAATATGTAATTGCATTTGAAATTGAAGAAAATAATAAAACTTAATCCAACTGTTTAGTTGCATCACAATATATGTCACAAACTAGAACTATCTTAAAAATATCTTTTAAGTATACATTATCAAAAACTGTTTGCGGCTCTTTTTACAATTTTCAAAATGCAATGCGGCTCTCGAAAACCCATGAGTTTGACACCACTGATCTATTCTAGACGATTCAAGCATTGCTTTGGGAAATTATATCACTTCAATTAAATTGAAATAATCTCGCTATATTAAATACAAAATCGTTGCTATCATAAAGGTAAACCAATTCAGCCACTCGAAATATACTGGCCTTCACAAAGCAATGGAGGCAAAATTGAGAGTTCATGAGCTATGAACATTTGTTCTTTTCTTTGTCTTGAACTTTCCATACTCCACAGCCCCTATTAATTTTTTTTAATTTCAATTACCATGTGATGGTCATACATATCTTTAACTTGTATTTTCTGTCATGATGTATTATCTCAATGTGCCAAACTATTAATTAGTGTGCATATTTTGCTTCCAGATGACATAAATGTATTGTCATGTTTATTACCTCAGCTTGGAGTATTGACAATAAAAAGGTGCCAGTAAATTAGGTAAAAAAATTTTCAACTCATTGTTATAATCAGAATTCACAATCAATAGGAATTATAAACAGCCAACAATCAGTGAGAATTATATGCGAAATCCCTCAGAATAAATTTGTCTAAAATCGGAGGAAGGCAAAAAATATAGGTAGTTTCCATCCACACAAGCATTTCAAGAAGACTTGCTCGAGCCAAACTAAATGAGCATCGTCAGGTGATCGGTAAGGGTGCAAGTTGAATTCAGCCCTGCAACCTCCTGCATAGAAGATAATATTAATTAGTGGGCTATGAGCTAAATTCCTAAATTTAAACAAACCTATCTACGATGCATTATGTACCAGCAATGTTACCTACGATTAACTGAATATGTAATATGTCTAATAAATTCACCTACAAAAGCAAGTTCGATAGGTGCAAACTTTGTGTTATGGAATTGTATCGCAGCACAGTTTTGTATGAAATTTCAATGATTAAGCGCAAACATTAAAATTACTAACTTTGAACTTTGTCATTATCTGCAAAATGTTCCACACTAATCTTTCCGCTATCGCGTTTGTAATCTTCTCTGATAAAAAAAAAACGTCTATGATGTCCAGAATTGCTCTTTACAGCTTGCCTGTTATTCCAGCTTTCCAAGCAAGCAAAACTTCTTAGATATAGAGATTATTTTGTTTCGTTACAGGCGCAAAAAGGCAGGTACTATACGTAAAAAAGACGCCGAGTAGCAAGAGCGAGCGGAAAACGGACGCGAAAGGCGACGAGAAATATGTGCATTGGAGCGTATCATGAAATACAAGGTTTTGCCTGTAGTCTTATGGAGTGACGTCAGAGTTGCCTATCATGTTGTTTAATGTCATTGTTAATAGTAATAGGCTATTGGCGACTTCTCCATTTTAAGTACTGAAAAATTAAATTCGATTAATCCGATAAATGCGCGAAAGGAGATTATTTCGGGTATCGGTTTTCCTAAAAGATCGACAGACGAGTCATCACCAACGCTTAGTTGCGGGCGCAATATAGGCCAACTCATACGAGGCGATAGGAAGGCTCAGTGGTGGGCATAATGTTCTCAGGATAAAAAACAAGAGGAAATATCACTATTCGTAGAAATTGCTCAATGCACTAATTCTTTTTCAAAAGCATGCCATTTTTTTTTATCTGATACTGTTTTTTATCAGATTGTTTGCAGCATTTTTTAATTGTCATAAAATAACACTGAAGAAAAAGTAAATATAGGTGAAAATAAAATGTCTACGTTTATGCCAGGAGTGTGACGTTTCATCCGATTACTGGATCTAGGTAGAAAAGAACAAGACTTGATTTCGAGATAAAGTTTCAATTAATTGGGACTATTACAATTTAGCTTTTTTCGTCTCAGTTTACGGAATGTGAAAATACCACTATGCCTCTAATGTCAGTAAAATATGAAACTGGTATACATGTCAGCGTATAGCTAACATATTAAAATTTATGAGAACTGACATCATGCAAATCAAGCATAGATATTATTGCATAGGTGAAGTAGGCTCTAAGATAAATTATATTGATGTTGGTATCGCATTGCATGGAGTGCAATAAATTAGATAAGCATTTTCGAACCGGGACGATTCTAGCTCTTACAAATAGCAGTAGCTCCCTACATATCGATATATGTAACTGCTTCCACAGGGCCTTGTTCGGAAAAGCATGCGAGTAAGCGTCGTATGAAAAAATAAAATGGAAATCACGGACATATTTCAATCGGGACACTCTATATATTACATTATCGTAAAAACCGCATTTAAATTTGACACAATTGGTGTGTGTATATAGTTATGCCAGACCTAAACAACCCGGAAAATGACTACGAATTCAACACAAACGGATACTGGTACATCTGCACCTCTCTGTTTTGTGTATTGTACTAAAGATTCATTTGTATGTTTCATCAATTTCATGTCTGTTGCCCAACTATTACGCAGAAATCCTAAACTGCTGTTATACCGTGATACGTATTCAAGAACTTACTGGTGTAAGACACAGTTGTGCGACATGTTTCATGTACCGTAAATTTATAATACGCAACATATACATATATATAGTTTGTATCGAATAACTTTGTGTATGTTGTATATTTTTATTGTTGTTGTTACAATGCTTGTTTTCTAGTTGAAGAAACAATAAATCGCGCACTCTCTCAAGTTGGTTATGTTGTTTCCATACAGTCCTTCTCAGTAATTAGTATGACCCATGACCCGACAATTCGCGTGAACAGCGGGAAATCCAAACGCTGCAAAGACGGAAGGCGCCGACGCCGATTTTTTTTCTCTCGGTGAATTACCGTCGGTTACTTCTGTGTAGTACGTGATTGCCACCATTACGGTACTTCTGTTACTTTTTACTACCGGTTACTTCTGTGTTCAGTTGTTTGCATTTTGCTGTCACAGCATCGCGTTTAAACCACGCTACCGGTACCGGTACCGCATCTGTAGCTCTATCTTATATTTCATCTTCTGTATTAAGTGGAATTTGCATGTTATGCTGTCATGGCGTTTAACGTGGGAAAATTAACATTTATTCGTCAGATTGGAATGTCAAATACGAGGTATCGAAAATGCGTCAACTATAACGAAAAAGGTCAGGTATTTCTTCATATCATATGCCATCCCTTTTTTAACTTTCCGTGATGTGATGACACAATGTTAATGGATCTGCTGCAAATATTCTTAGTCTCATCGCAGCTCGGATTTAAATATATCAAGTACACTGTCTGACTGTATGTCACAGTCTGACAGTATCATGAGACGAAGATAAGGTAGAAGATATTGATTTTTCCAATTGTTTGAACGTAATACTGATATGAAATATCAGAATATCGCCTGATACGGTACTGCTGTACTACGTTATTTTACAAAATCTGAAAATTACATTATAATATAATATAGATTGCAGATATCATCTTATTGTAATTTTTCATCTGCTTTAATATATTTCTACGATTCTTGTTTAGATTTTGTCAATAGTTTCAATCAACATCACATGCAAGACATATTTTGTGCCAGTAATCAGAAATATGTCGTTCCTGGGGAACTTGAGGTAACGAATTTAATTACAATTAGTTTAATGTGGTATTTGGAAAAAACAAACATCGCTTTCAGCGATTTTTATGCAAAACACAATTTTTCAATATCAAAAAATATTACATGTTTTAGAATAGATTATTTTTATTTGTTTCAGCCGGAAGTACCCCCATACACAGTTGAATTTTGTACAGGTATGTTTCACAACTTTTCTTTAAGTGATTCGTTTTTGATTTTATTTGATTACATTTTAGGTCTTTATTCTGGTATTTTCCCTTTCTAATTTGATTTCGGCTTGGCAGTGTGGCGCATCGTGCCAAGCAATACGCTCGCCACCACATCTCTGATTACCTTGCGAGGGTTCGCAGGTTCGAATCCTGCGCAGAAATAGTTATGTGCGAGTAGATTGCTGGACTCCTCGCCGCCGTATGGTGGTTAACGTAACTGCTGGTCGGTTACAGCTTCCTTCACCATCAAGTCCATGCTTCCGAAAACGAATAACTGGCTAACTAATCCCGTACTCGACGTGGACTGGTATCTGGACGAGAGCCCGTGGTTTTCCATATGATGAAGCCGTCTTATCAGCTTACCCTTCCCAGGATGAATATGTAGGCTAAATCTTGTGTTAGATTATTGCCTTGTCTTTAAATTATCCTAAGCTTGCTTGAAATAATCAGAATCAACATTCAAATCAGTGGTGGGGTATTATCAAGATTGTACTCATTTACTAAAACAAATACATGGCATGGATTTTTTAACTTCAATAAGTATTATTTTTAAGCTTCCGGCAGTGAGCATACATTTGCAGTGGCAGATGAAAATGGAATCGTATCTCTTTTCATTGCTAATGAACCAGTACTGGGAAATGATGCTGATAAAGTATTGAGGCCACTGCATAAACTTGAGGCACACAACAATGCTATATTTGATATTGCATGGATTCCTCATGAACATTCTCTAGCAACTGCATCTGGTGATCAAACAGCTGCATTATGGGACACACTAAAAGGAGAAGTCATAACTGTTTTCAAGGGACACAGTTGTAGTTTGAAATCTGTGAATGTGTCTAAGCAAAATTTGAGTAAGTATGTTATTCAATCAAACATCCTCATTGAATCTATTCCTGTTCAAGCACAATGTTCCCCCCAACACATTTTTTTCTTTTATCTATTTATTCATTTCAATCATGTGATCATTTTGAAAGAAGTATTTTTCATCTATGTCTTTTTCGATGTGAGAAAATTTTACATATATGCAAGGTTCAATTTGTGCCTTTCCTGATGGCAATTTAGCCTATTTATCCCGATTACAATTTATGCATTTCTGTATCTTGAAACAAGCTGTGGATTCTGAGAACATTTACAATCAACTTTCAGATGAACAAAATTTTGGCTCAGACTCCTGATTCATAGTTTTGAAAGATTTGGCTCCAGCATTGAACTCCGAGAAAGTGCAATTTTGATAATGAAAACTTTTGCGATCTGTAGAATATGTTCTTTTATCACCTTGGAAATATGCAATTCTGACGTCATAAAATGCAGAATTTTGACATTCAAGTTTGAAACTACGACTCCAGACTCCACAGTTCTGCTTTACTCTATTTATGGTATTGTTCAACAGATCTCCTAGCAACAGGATCAAGAGATGGGAATGCATTGATATGGGATCGTCGAACTTCATCACAACCTGTTGTTAGAATCCAGGATGCTCATGTGATTAATGATTCTTTAACACCGATGAGGAAACGAAGAAGAGCATTAGCGGTAGACACTGGACAATTGGCCATAGTAAGTTTTATTGTCGCGACTCGCAAAATACTTTTTGAAATTCATTGCTGATGAGCGAATGATATATGTACTTTCACATTAAAAACCAAAAGAGGGCCACGACATACTGGATTAAATTTGACGAAATGGAAGGAAAATGTTTATTCAAATTTTATTTTATTCTGGAAAATTTATCGACAGTTCTAAAACTTTATAAGTACTACTGCAATATGTCTTCTTTTCAAACGTAAACCCAGCACATACAATGCTGAATTTACCACTTTTGATAAATCTATGCAAAGTGAAACTAAAGCAACACAACTTCAAGAATTATTCATAGAAATCAAGTATTTTTCATGAAATCTAGTTTATTTTGTCCAGGAACAATCATAGATACCGTACATAAGATGTTTGTTTTTGTAATATACCATTATCAAAATTACATAGAGAGAATGGCCTCCCCGACCAGCAATTGCACGAAGACTTAAAAGTTGAATCATTATTAGTTGACATCTTATGTTTGAATATTAGGATTCTCGACAGACTGTTTCGTCAGCAATATTTCAAGACAGCAACACAGTGATAACATCAGGAGCAATGGATGGAATGCTGAAGATTTGGGATTTGAGAAAAATTCAAACAAAGAAGAAGACGACGGGTAATTATTATCCCACTACCCTCTTAGTGTGCGCCCTTTTACACTACCAGTAATAAGTTCTTGGAATAATTAATGATATTTTTTCAAGCGAAGGGAATAAAAAGGGATGCTCCTTTAGAGATGATTCCATATCCCGGATTAAGTCAACGAAGAAGAGGATATACTTGTCTTACACTGGATTCATCAAATACAAACCTATATGCATCATGTACAGATGATTCAATATATCATTATAATTTATCAACTTTACCTAGCAATGGAAGAAGGTGAGCCATTGATGAGATATCTTTATTTCCTTGACATCATCATATAAACGCTAGTTATTAAGGTTGAGATTGAGACAAACGCATGAAAGAACAATGGCTGTGGCATCAAGAGGCTGGAGTTTAGCATGTTTTTATTAATAATTGGAGTCCAATCCTTTACATACCTTGTGAAACCAAAATTAAGTTGGAATATCAGACCAGGGGCGTAGCCAGAAGGGGGTGGGGGGTGGTTGAGAGTCTAACCCCCCCCGATTGAAAAATTCTCGACTACGCCCCTGTATCAGACATAATGGTAATAAGTGAAGTCAGAGTCAGAGTTATATTTTCAAATTCTCTGGAACTGCAATTTTAAATTGTCCAAGTCAGTTTAAATTTCAATTTTAATGGTAATATTCAGAGTGACCAAGCATTCTTAACAAACAATTAAAAAGGGCCCGCATATGTCAAGGTTTTTGTCGTCAAAATTCTGTTTTTAGAATCGGATTTAACCCGGATTCGAAGTTGTTGTCAATTGTCATTTGTCAACACAAGAGTCGGTAGAGTCTGGTATATGTTTTTCCAGGTTCTACATCCCTGGCTGTAACCAGTTTCATGCCAGTAAGGCAACTATCTGATAAATTAGTTTTTACTTCTCATGGAAAAACAACACTCCAGTCTTTTGTGGGATAAGAATATGTTATGTTAACTTTTAAGGGAAGAAGGTGAATTACTCAACATGTTTTCCTACAATAGCTCATTTTGAAAGCTTTCGATTAAGTGTAGTTGCCGCACTGTTGTGACTGTGAGCATTTGCGTAATTTTATTTTTCAAATTATTTCAGGCAACCAATATGCAAATACCAAGGTCATTACAATACATCATTTTATGTAAGATCTGCACTGAGTCCTGATGATCAATTTCTACTCAGTGGTTCTGATGATAACAAAGCCTATATATGGAAGGTGGGTCTGTATAGTAGTTAACCAAGCAACATTTATAATGGGGTAATTGTCAGGTCAACATTCTCTGGGTGCATATAAGTTTTAGGTGGGGCTGGAAATAGGGTACTCCCGTAGTGCGTGTACCAGGTTAGGGTCAGGCCATAATTTTATTTCGATTTTCTTTTTTTTAGTTCTATTACGAGTTTGGGGACTGTCTGTGTTAGCCAAGTGAATGTACCCCCTGCCCATAGGTTTCAGTTCATTTACACAACTTGATGTAAAGTATGCGAACAAAATTAGTTACCTCCATATTGGTACACATACTTCAGGACTGCCGGAAATATAATCGGAATTGAGTTTTGTCGTTGTAAAGAATCAGGATATAGAAATATTTGGCTTTATACTATTCATAAATGTTTATCTGAAAACAATATTGTCATTTGTAGCAGTGATAAATCTCAACTACAAAAAACAAACAAACAACTTATTGCTTCAGTGATTTGGTATGAATGTTTTAAACATCAAGTATTGACTCATCAAATTATTGTAATTATATTGTACAAATTATTCTTGGCCCACGTAGGGATGGGCAATGTAGAATAATAATTTACCATTCTAGAATAGTTAAATCGAATCCAGAATACTGAATCCTATTCTATTTTCATACTTATTCAAATAGAGGGAATTTTCCTGATTGCTGGATTTAGATGTCAAAAAATTATAAATGTATTACTATAAATGTATTATTTATTTGGAAATGTCCTTAACATTGGATTGGATACTAAACAGGCATTTCCCAGCACAATGAAATGTAAGAATATTACAATATTTTTGCTTTCAATTGTTCCAAATGTATGTAATCTCTAAATACTTATATGCTAAATTAAGACACGCTTCAAACACTTTAATAGTAAGCGGTTAAATACAAAATTAGATATGAAACGGCATTAAATCATTATTAATGTTATAGAGTGTCGAGTGTACTAAAACACACCCGCTGAGAATTAATTAGATGCAGGACCAGCGTGTGACCACTGCAACCTATGCGACCGGTGTAAAATATTAAATTTAACCACTATCAAATAAAATCAACTTATTATTCTGTGCGATCAAGACGTGCAAAACAAGGTTCCCGTAAACGCGATTTCGTAGTTAGTTATTAGTTAACATCATCTAAAGACGAATTCAATTTCTATTATTATTGTTACATATCATTATCTACCCAGACTTGGTTCTACTCAAACTCAATATGTAACTATTTTCGCCAGATGTGGCATCTTTTTTTAAAATCTATCGGCGAATAAAATTACTACACAGACACTCGATCAAACGTGCGTCTATCTTGAACGATAGAAACGGACCGAAAGATATGTAATCTTTTGGGAGTGAAATTCAAATGCGACAGATCGTCGTGTTATGCGATATAACTTTGTATTTCAGAAACTGGTGTAATAAAAGTAATAAAATTATTCCTAAATTTCACGCCTGGCTTTTGATTTACATGCATCATTTTCTGGGGATAACTCGCCGGTCGCGGAAAATCATTTACAGTAATGTAAAATGAAGCAAGGCACGCCTGTAAACAATTGAAGATTGTTGCAATCAGATTATCGGAATATCGCCAGTAAGTCGGCACAAATAATTATTATTATTAAACTCTAGCTAGATAGCAAAGCAGGAAAACGCAAAAAATGGTGCAATAACGAGTTTTCGTCGTAAGGTGTACTTCACGACTTCTTGTCCAGAATACGCCGATTGAGATTACAGTGTTTGAAGTTTACCGATTTTACAGGTTCTTTCCGAGCAGACGCAAGTCTTAGTTAAACGAGAGAGATTTCCACTCGAGAAAAACGCTCGTCTTTAATTGATATTTAGAAACCCGAAATGCAAAAATCAACGCATGGCGCCGGAGAGGCGGAAACCGAATCCTGTTATCGGATCCTCCGGATTCGGTATTCTATATTGCCCATCCCTAGGCCCACGTTTGTATTTTGCCAATTAACACATTTTCTCCCGGCAATACCTGGGTCCAAATCCATAGGTTTATCTTTTTACTCAATTTTAGGTGTTTACAGCTATGTAAACTGTTCCACCTGAAGTTGTATTGCATTCTTTTGACTGGTTCATCCATATTGGAACGTCAAACGTCTTTTGATTACTGAAAGGAAATTAAGGGATTTTTCGCAACAGCAATTTTGCAAAATGATTTGGGGGTCTAAAAATTAGTCGTGCATTCCAACATTTTCCTTTTATGGCCTTGTTTGAAAGTTTTCAGCAATTTTTGCAGATTTTCAGGCTTACCTAAATTTTTTTCAATTTATATTCAGGCAACTGGGAAAGATAGTTCACCAATTCTTCGACTTGTAAGTGAAGGAATGTCTGAAGTAACTGCAGTGGCATGGTGTCCTTATGATTATACTAAAATGGTAACTTGTTCGGATGAATGCGTTGTTCGCGTGTGGAACCTACCTTATAATGGAATGGGAAATTTTCAAAACATTGATGGACGTGGAGAAATTCCTCAAATAAAGAAAAAAGAAGGTAAACAATAGGATATTGATTCGATTTTCGGTGTAATGTATTACTATACATTAGTGTGTGCTTGCAAAGAACCTTGTTTGGAACAAAGGTCCTGTAGAACTCCGAGTAAACCAAATTTTGATGGCAAAATGCCTTCTTTATTGGTTCGTTGAGAATTCTTAATCAACAAACATGAATGGTTATTGTGGCAACTGTCAGAAAATCTTGCCCTGATATCTCAAGCGTTTATAACTTGTAATCGCAAAGAAATATTTTCTTATTTTTACAGCTTTTATAAAGTCAGGATTCACTCCTACATCAGTTGTCAGAGTAGAACCACAGCTTGAGACTTCACCTACAACTGTGAAATCAACGACAAATCATATATTCACTCCACAAAAATTAACTTTCACTTCTTCGCCACCAAATTCTTCCAGTAAACTGTGCACGCCGTTAAGAAACCTCAACAATCAAATGAGAACTCCAACATCTATTGAAAAGTGGATTGTAAGAACGCCAACGCAAAAAAAACTTGACTCGAAAGACAGTAACAGAAATCGTGTGGTAAAATGTTTAGAAAATCACATGGCAAAAGAGGAGCCTATTTTAAAAGAAAACGAAGAAATACAAAGTAGTGACTCAAAACTAGAAGCAGGAAATAAGAACTGGCTACTAGAACTTTCCAAGCGAAGGAGGTCAAAGGACATTGTTGATAGTCCCGCACGGAAGAAGCAGAAATCTGCAGCATCTCTGTCTGTTAATAACAACAGAACACCTGCAAAGTCATTTAGAACATTGGATTGCTATTTTAGCAGCCCTAAATCTGAGAGATGAATAGCTTTGTTTATCCACATTAGCTATGTTGCTACAACTTAACAAATCTTTTTTTTATTTAATCACTGTAATTAAACCGAAAATGCATTCATTCTTATTGCTTGAAAAGATTGAATGTAACTTCACTGCCATACTCTACTTTTAGCGAGCTGCCATCAGCTGAACTAATATTTTTAGCTTTTTAAAGACTACAACAATTTGTCTCTGCCATTTTATACATTTTCAATAAAATGCCATTAACGAACTGTGTATTGCGTCATTTGTAAAATTGGACAGTTATGAAATTGCCATTTTCATGTATGTGTCAATGATATTCCTGCAGAAAGTTGAGGATCAATTCAAAAGCGTTCGCTCAGCTTTTAACATCATCTCAATGTCAAATTCGGACAGGTATTCAGTTTAGCCACATAATTCCAATTTCTCCAAAGAGAGGAATTAAGCTTTGTATTAGCTGTGAGGTATTGCCAGTATTACTACCCAAACTGTACAAAAAGCGGGAGTGCAACTCGCGCGTAACACTAGCTGATGATCCATCAAAGAATAAATAAAGCCCTTTCCATGCATGTTGAGGGAGGAATGGTTTATCCAATGATAACTGCAAACCCTCAATTGGGCGTAGTCTTGAAAAGGTTATCATCAACCAATCCATTCAATCGTATTATGGTCCCGATCTAACATCATAAAACTTGTTTGTAGTAAAGGGATGTTATTGCATGCCTCGACCAGGGCTGTGTAGCTAGTTCCAAATCATAGTGAATCTTCATACCCATTGCGGTTTTTAGGTAACCACTGCTTATCTGCCATTAAACATCAGCCCCAAATGCATTTTTATGGAAGCAAGACTCAGAACTATTAGAATTTGAAAATTGAATTTGTTTTAACATTTGTATGGAGTACTAGAAAATCATAAATGTTACATAATTGGATGGTTAGGAGCATGAGACATTAAAATTTCTGGTAGCTCTGGGCCTCTGGCTTTATCTATCTTGGTAAGCTTTGCTCCAGCTCCCCAGCCCTGGTCTCAACTTCTTCCAAATAACTGCAACAAAATCATCTACCCACTGCTCTAATGAAGCAATAATTGAAGGACGGCCATGATGAAAAGAAACTAGTTGTATTTGGCATACACATTCATTCAAACATCACAATTTGGCAGTAATATGATTTTATATGCACTGACATTCAGTAAAAAATTATTACAACATTCAAAAATGCCAACTCTCGAAGGACTTCTATTTTTATATGAACAGAAGGACTGATTAAACATGGTTCTTCATAATGACTTAGTAGCATTGAAATTTGTGTCTCGCATTGTATTTGAAAGGTTTCAGGCGTGCCCTTCCTTTTGACATCCGTGGACATAGTTTACTGGTTGGAAATTCAGATGGCATGTCGCTACCGTCCATGTTGCAGTCCGTTTCAACATATATATCAAGCAGAGTTAACAGCCTGTATAACTGCACTGACAATAACTCGTTCTGCAATTTCTTTCTGGATTTCATGACGATCTGTGGCATTTTGCAGTTCACTTCAACTTCTATCTCTCTCACATTGAGGTTATTTTCGGCTGTGTGGTTGCCATGCCAACAGACTTGGATTCTGAACAGTGGCCATTTCGTTGGATATTTGTCGGACACAGCAACTGCTACTTTTATATTCGCGCTCGTACCTCTTTGCAAAGTTCCGCAGTAGAAGTAATCATTTTTCGACACTAAATCAAGCTCTCTTGCTGCAGAAGTAAATTCCATTTGAGAATAATCATGAAAATCGATGCACTTCCATGAAGATAGCTTGAACAGAACAACAGGTGCAAAATTTTCTCGGAAACTTGGATCACATGTTACAACGTTGTTTGAATAATCATTGAGTTGATTTGCTAGTGAGAGACGAGATTCTATCCGTTTCCTAATTAGCTTTATGATAAGATGCATTGTAGAAAAACCGGATTGTCTACTTATTACTTCACCATCCTGCAATGCAACCAAACCTGCTAACTTTTGCGCCCAGACATAACCAAACTCATTTTCTGAGAATGAAATTCCAGTACTGTGTTTTCCAGTACCTGTTGCTTTATGAGGTATAGATGTACCATTATCAACTAGTTGAAGATCATTCAGAAGGGACGATGCAGCTATGACACGAGATTTCTTGATTTCATTCAATGAGCTACACAATTCTAGGGATGGAATAACAGTAACAAACTCAGAATCATAGCTGTAAAATCTCATCAACAAATAGGAAGAATTTGCAGTCTTCGATTCGAGGTAAATTTTGAGCGAAACAAAGAGCGGATGTTTGGAGATTGAACTGTCAATGTTCATCACTTCACTCGATGCTGCTTTTGTAGATGTACTCTTCCTTCTTCCTCTCTTATTTTCCTGATCATCCTCATTTTCAGAATCGCTATCATCTTCATATCGATTCTTATATAAATTAGTTGCATCAACAACTTTTCTTGTTTCCAGATCTTTCAATCTTTTTGCAACATTGACATCCCCTCCGATCTGTACATCCATGTTTCTGTCACATGCGTCGGAAAATGCTTTCGCTTGCACAAATAGCACGTACAAAGGCTGAGGAAGAAGATATGCTGTGTCATAAAGTGCCCTTGTTTCAGTAAAATGATCACCTAGTGCTTCCTGCAATGGCATTGTGCTTTTTAAGATCGTTTCCAAATTTGGTTTTAAGCTGTCTAAATCTTGTTTGCGTTTCTTTATTCCTTCGCATATTTTGTCTTTCTTTTCATGTGCTTGTGTCAGTTCCTCTTTCAATGTTTTGCGATTTTCCAATTCCCAATCCAGTCGTGCTAGAGTTTGTAAATGATTATCTGTTCTGGTCTCATTTTCTTTGGATATTGTCGGAGGCGCTTCAGTATAAAACTCATTGACTGAAACCAAATCAATATCTTCATGTTTTGACTTGAATTGTAAACAATTATTAACCTCCCTGTCAAGATGGCTTATTTCATATTGCAAATTCTGCAAACGTAGATTATTTGCATCTAATTTTTGCTTTGCTTCCAGCGTGGAATCTTTGGCATTTTTACATCTAATTTGTGCAAGTCGATTGAGTTTTTTCAGCGTCATAAAATGGAGTGAACCAGTGAGACGTAGTTCGTTGATTTCCTCTTTCCCTTTGTCAGGCGTTTTCGATTTGAGATGTGAAATTTGTTGCATGATTGTCTGTATTTCCTTTGTGATTGATGAAAACATATTGAGATCATGGAGGGAATCTTCAGCGTGTACTTCAGATGCTTCGTTATAGCTCGCCATGTTTTTCTCAAATTATTATTCTAAATACTAGTATATCGTACACACAAAATAAAAAGATAACATAAAAGATTTGCATGATATACATTTGAAAAAACATTGAAATGAAAACTCAACAACTAAATAAATTCATCTGTCAGGCAAGAGTGGTTATATATTTGCCTATAATATAACGGTAAATGAATGCTGGTACAACAGCAAGAAAATACAAAAAATAAGAGATGACGTAAACATACTATAACCATGTTCTGTACAACACATCAATTTATAATCTGTGCTTTAGAATAATTGGTACATATTTTGAAAAGTTCTAGCATGCGCTTATAATAACTTCAAACCTACATAACCACTCTAAAACTGAATAATTACGGTATATGTGAGCAATATATTATATCTGTGTCTGTGTGGTTGCAGTTTATGTTCCTTTTTTTTTTAATTTTCCTATCAGACACATAACAGAACTTTCAAGAATTCAATATGGTACCTGAGATGACATAAGAAAATATACATTTTTCACAAGCATGCATTCATTATTACGAAGACATTTGCAAAAACTAAGATCATAACATCATGGTGAGCCTAGGAATATAGTTCAAAACTTGTAAAAATCTGAATGTCCAGAGTTACATCACCAATTACCAGGAAATTAATGATGGGGATGAGAAATAACTAAATGTCGGATAAAACAGAAAAATTTCCATGACTAAGATTTACAAATGCCTTTTGGCACAATACAATTTATCGTTCATAACAATAATTGTGACTCATTAACCACCGACCCGAAAAGTCTTGATATTCTAGTTTCATTATCCTTTCCTGCGATCTTGTTATAAAAACGTATAATGTGATGGATGAAATGATGTAATATCGTCAAGCAAAAATAATAAGAACAACAATATAATTTTAATCAAAAAATATAAATCTGAAATTTAAGGCACTTTATCTATATTGAATTTGAATCAAAAAAATCAAACTCAAATTTATAATGTAAAGAAACCCGTACAAACTGGTAACAAATCTTGGCATTGTGTCGGTTTACTAGGTTTAAATGAAACAAGTAAATAATACCTTATTAACACAATGATAATCAAAGCTAATTCAAAAAAATATACATGCTTCATTATTTATTCAGATTTTAGAGGAGAAAAGTCACTCAGAAAATGTGATAAGCCACTCAATTTAAAGCTCAAATATTTGTTTAAATTATTTAAAAATTCTTGCTGTTTTAGAATCAAGATAAGATCAATATATTTTGGGGTTATGGCAGCAGTAGTTCTACTAGCTTGATTTTCATTTGAGTAAAGTGTGTAAAAGTATAAGGAAAGATTTCTTGATTGTCTTTAGAGGATCACTTTCAAAATGAGGATTTTTAAACAAGTGAACAACAAAGCGCCAATAACCACAATATGCAAATTTAGTAAAACCAGTACTTGTTGTCCTTGAATGATTGTTTCAGTTATTCACATTGTACGTTCATAGCCTCGCCATGTTTTAACCACACTGTTCTAACTCAAACCAATAAATAGCCAACCTATCCAGAGAAAGAATGTGGGGGAATATTGCCATATATGTATAGGCCATTTTCACAAATAAGGAATTAAAGAATACTTTACGATATTATAAAAAGCACCAAATAGTTCAAATAGTAATGATTTGATTTGCACAAACATTCCTATCATTCAAAGTTAGAGTTCTACCAAAGTTACATACGGTATGTTTGAAAAGCCAGTGAATGTCATCTAATAGAACTTATAAATAGAAGTGATATTGACTCACAAATTTTCTCAACATTGCATTATTTGCAAAAATCAAAAATATATAAAGAATTGGGAAACGAACAGGAAAGCATCCATCTGAGTCAAGGAAACATAACCTATTTCCATTCTGTTCAATACACTAAAATGTGGTGTTATTTAGGACCATAAATTTTTTTTTCAATCAACAACACTTTTGGATCGCTAGACTATGAAAAATGAAGAGGGGATTAACCTTGAATTTAGTCTTAAATAAGATGTTTTTACTTACTTGAAAATTATTGAGAGTATACACAAGTTCTTAACCCAATACAAGAAGTAGATTTAGCACTCAAGTGACAAGCTCTTGACATAGTTTTGTAAATGATAATGAGCTATATCATTCCAACTTGGATTGAAAATCAACTTACAAGTATTATAATTGCTTTAATTTTTATCGCATCATTCAGTCAACCAATGATTGAAAAAATCTTTTATACGATACGGCCTATTACTAGTTTTTCTTCTACTTTCCAACTCAGAATATACAGCAATATCAGACAGATTAGGTATTGTATTATGCTTATAGATTAATAAGAATTTACTGTACAATAAACCCTAGCATAATATAAATAAGGCAAAATATACTTGGCAAATAAATTGCTACAAAAAATTATTTGACGATATAACGAAAAAAAATTTGTTGACTTGTCGAATATTAGCAACATTTCCAAAAAAAGTGCTAAAACCAACGTACCGACAAATGTACCAATAAAGATAGTAAAGAAATTATGAATATTTTCATTCAGTTATAAAACATTTGCAAATATTATGAGTATGAATTTTTATTTTATTATAATATTATAAAGTGCAACATGATGTTTATTAAAAGTTAAATTTTCAAGTAATCATATTTCAGGCACATGTAACAGCATGTTCTTGAGATATGGCTGCCAATTCCTTCAAAAATTCATGCAGAATGACACATGCAAACACAACATTTTTAGTTCGTGTGTCATTATTTTGCTTATCTAATGCGGAGAAAAATTTTGTGTTAGAAACAGCATAAAACATGGATTGTCCCTCAAATCCTGTTTTTTGTGTCAGTTGTAATGACCTTCCTTGTTTTTCGACCAATGTATCTAGTTTTGAGCCTTTCTGGGTCAATGGTTTTCTTCGCTTTCTTCTTAAAAACACTTCCCCAAGAGCAGTATTTCTTGTTTTCACTCTCGGTACCGGCATGGGTGTATCTTGAACTAAGTTTTGTTCAATGGTGTCAACTGCTTCATTTCCTCTAGCAAGAAGGTATTTTTCTGCCCGGCACAACAACGCATCAAAATTTTCCACATTTGCGGCATACGATTCTATACGATTTTTGACTCCAGTAAGAACTTGATATAATGACCTTACTGCAGGATGAAAAACGACATAAGTATTTAGAAGAAAAGATCGAATCAGAGGCTGAGGATATATAGATAGTCTCGATATGATCCCAGTTAACAGAAGGTTTTCGTAAAGAGAATTGCTCGGCATTTGATCCAACTTTCCGAACAAAGTACTTAGAAACGGACCTGTATAAGGCATGGCATGCATTTTTAGTCGTGGCACTAAGGGAGCAACAGAAAATTCTGCAGGTGTGTATTCTAAATCTGGTTCATAAAACGAAGAGTTAATCGACATGCTATCATCTTCCCAATTTTCATCATGATCTTCCAAACTTTTTTCATAACTGGAATCCTCCGAATTTACGCTAGCCTGACGGTGAGTGCCATCAGGTTCATTACTCGCTGTACTATTCAGTCTTTCTGCAAATGAATCATCTTCAATGGGGAATTCAATTCCAGTATCTTCAGTGGGTGATGACACTTTTCCTTCAATTCGATCTCTTGCATTTTTTGGTACACTATCCATTAACCTCCTGAAAAATTCATCCACAGAAGAAGTCTGAGCATTCGATGGTTTGTTATCTTTCTCCTTGTTATCTGGATCATAATTATCAAATGATGAATTAGCTGTTGCTTCGTCAGATATAGCAGACTCATTTTTTTCATCATTGGTTTGTTCACTCACATTGCCTGAATTTTTGACACCATTTACCAACACAACATCATCTTTCACTGAAACCCCATTTTCAACCCCATTTTTTTCAGGTATATCAGATTCTTCTTTGAAAACGTCAACAGAATTATTTTGATCTGGATCAGTGATTTGTTCTTTATGTTCTTCGGGCAGAGAATTTATCTCATGATTCAACTCTTCAGCGTTCCCATTCATTGGTAATGTTGACAACCTTTTAATGTTAAGAACTTGCGCTGTTGCATTTAGTGCTTGGTATGTAGCATTTAAGGCATGTAAAGCAGGGCTACGTTCAGCTCCCTGAAGTTTTTGATATTGCATTGGGAAGGGATCAGATTCAGCATGTGTTTTGTGATTTTCTTCATCATTAATAGACAGGAGACTCAGTGCTTTATCATGTAGAAGTCCAGCAGACATACTGCCAGTTAAACCTTTCACCTCTGTAACAGAATCTGTAGAAGGATTCTTTCCATCATAAGGCTCCGACCAATTCTTACAAGCTTCTTTACATGAGGCAATAGCAGAATTAGCACTTTCCAAATAATCCATATAGCTTGTATGCAATAACATTTGAGAGTCATGATCTGGGCCAAACTCTGCCATTGTTGTAGGGCTCGTAATCATTTCTGATTGGTCACTATGATTGCTGTTATTTGATCCTGCGGATACCTGAGAATTTGAGCGTTCTTTGGAATCAGCGTCTGCCACAGCGACATCTTTAACAGATTTGTTAATAACTGAAGGTGATTCACTTAACTCATTATTCAAAGATGTTTTATCGCTTTGTATATTAAAACATAATGGAGCAAGATTTATAAATCTATGAGCAGAGGCACTGTACATATCTACATCACATATTGAACGATGTTGACTGGCCAGTATATGCTGGCAAGGTATCAAATATCGAAACACTAAATGCAGCATCAAATCTTCACAATCCAAATCTAGCAGCGTTCGAAAGAGTGACAACGAAACCGCAGCCAGCCTACTGTTGCTCCCAATTCTTTGTATCAATGTATTAATGATGAGTGAATTATCATGCCTGTGGCACAGTAAGAACTTGAGAAAGCATTGTAGAAGTTCTGGGGCCGTCACAGATTGCAGAAATAGATTGAGATACGCAGTTGTAACAATTACTTCACTCGCTGACGGTTTGTGTAATGCAGGTCCAAAAACAGAGACTAAAAAACCATTGTATATGTAGTTTAGTAAATTTTCACTTACAACACCACAAGAAACCTCAATAACAGAATTACAAAATTCAAAAGAGTTCATGAAATTCACAAGCGCTGGGACTTGACTCCAGTCCTGTTTCCTTAGAAAATGCCATTCATCTGCCCGGACATCAATTTGACGAGGCAAACTTGAATACAAACCACTTAATCCAGTAGCCAATACTGGACAAAAGTCAGTTTTGACAATGTATTCTGCAATACGTTCATTCTCACATGACATAGTGATACAAAGCAACAGTGCATCTCTCGCTTGCTGTCCGATACTTCCCTCTCTATGAATGAATCCAATTAAAAGGCTAAAAATTAGAAAATTAGTTGCTCCTTGATCATCAGATGAACCAAAAAATACTTCCAACAAAGTAGGGTCACGACTAATCCAAACACACAGTAGATTCAGCAACAAAACAACATGGCTGTCAACTTCTTCCGAATTCATTTCAGAACAAGACGATAATAATTTCAACATTGGTGTTATTAATTGTCTGTGATGGAGCAACGAATGTTGAGCTTGACTGATCAAAACTTCATAAACTTTGATTTGATTCATTGCTATCTGTTTCTGTAACTCTCCTGATCTTTCAAACCACTGAAATAATTTAAGCATGAGTTTATTTGTGACAAGATATTCTAAAATAGGTCCAAGTTGTAATCCAGCTGTTTGTTCTTCCACTAACAAGTAAATCATTTGTTCGAGAAGATTGCGTACTGCATCCGCATCATCCTGCGTAACTGGTTTAGGTTTCTTCAGCAGCGTTGAATGCGTCTTTATAAAAACACCATCTTCAGAGCATATAATATCAGACACTTGTAACCAATGGGATTTGAACACCTCAAAACGAATCGAAGTAGGACTCTGTGGTGTTGTAGGAGAGACAGAGCTACTTGTACTTGCGTTATTATTAGTGACTTGACTCAATTTTCGGCGTATCCAGGACATGATGCCATATATCTTTTACTGCAAAAAGCTTTATTTTTATGTCTATATATTTAAATTAAACTACAGTTTCATCTGCAAAAATTACATATTTGATTAATGGATGTAATAGTAACACAACAATATATGGAGCGAATCATACAGGAATTATTGCACAGAAATTAAGTTATTACAGTCAAAATAATATTCAGTATGAATTTACCAGCAGCACCTAAACAAAAGCTTCATTTACTTTTTGCTACACTACCTGTTTTGCAATTGAATCAATACCATTTTACAACAAAGAAGAAGAAACATTGCTAAACATCTGAACCTAGAGCATTTTGAAATCAACATTTTTCGCACGAAAGATTTTACCTACGAGTGATGAAATTTTAATTTTAGAAGTATTAACCAGAAATAGACTAAAACATTCTGAACTAGGAATTATGAAGCATCACATTGAATAAATACCAATTTCAGCTCTTGATTGACAAAATTTCATCCGAATATTTGACAAGAAAATGTCAACATTTATATATCTTTTTGCACATTATAGTTCCAAATTGTCTGTAACCATTATAAATAGATCCATCGCAGTATAATTTAAACATATGAAATAAATATATTTTATCACTCTCAAATGAATCTATTAACCGAACTAATTCAATAAATATTCTGAGAGATCTTAGGATTCTAATTTCCCATAATTTTGAATTACCGTAATTGTGTATCATTTGCTACTAAGACGAATCTGCAATCCTGAAACTTTATTAAGCAATTAAATGAAAAATGAATATAAAAAAGCAACCAAAAATGTAAATACTATTCTATTTGATGAATCTTACAAAAATATACCATGTTACTAAATTAATGGAGAAGTCTAAAAAAATATGCCACATTCAATTAGAGTTTTGGGTTAGCCAGAAACTTTTTAATCATTGAGAAATTGTTGAAAGCTGTCATCCAGCTGCCACCATCAACTACTAAAACTGCACCAGTTACATAAGAAGCTGCATTACTCACAAGAAAAACAGCAGTGTCTGCTATTTCACATTTTTGGCCCATTCTTTGAAGAGGAATACCATTCTCTAGTTGTTCTCTCAAACTACTCTCACCACCCAACTTTTTCATTCCTACTGTTCCATCGATTGGTCCCGGAGAAATACAGTTGATTCGTACTCCATTCCCTCCCCATTCAACGGCCATATGCCTAGTCATGGCATCAATAGCAGCTTTTGCAGAACCTGCGTGAGTTTGCATAGCATCACCTTTATAGTGTAATGTAGCGGATATGTTAATAATATTGCCACCATTTTTCTTGAAGTATTTTTCATAAACTGCTTTACTGCAATTGAAGGTTCCTATCGTGTCTATATCTATAACAGTCTTAAATGCATTGTACGAAAGATTTTCGACATCACTAAGAAAGTTACCAGCAGCACTGTTGACAAGAATATTAATTTTTCCGAAATTGTCTACGATCTTGTCTATGGTTTTTTGTACATCCTTTGGATTTCGTACATCTGCAGAAAGAGGGAGACATCTTTGTCCAGTAGCATCTTCCAGTTTTTTTGCTGATTCTTGACACTTTTCAAGCCGCCTACTAGCTATAGCAGTATCACATCCATGTCTCATGAAGACTTCAGCTATTCTGAATCCAATACCAGATCCTCCGCCAGTAATGAAAGCCACTTGGCCTTTGAGTAAATCTTGTTTGAACACATACTCATAACTAGGCAAACAATCATCTGACGGGATCTCGGAATTCCTTGGTCTTGTTGACATCATGAGTTTGGGTTGAAGATTAAATGATCTGTTAATCGGTCTGACGCCTTGGAATAAAAATGACTGCAAAGGAGCCAATTTTAATTGTTGTAGCATGACACACTACTTTTGACTGTATGTTAAATATTTTTTGACTTACAGCTTACACCTTGTATGTTTGTCTGTGAAATTATGAACAAATAATAATTGAGAATTTCGATGAAAAAATTAATTTATTATTTATTTTGCTGTTTTAGGGAAATAAAACCTGTTCTATTCCTGTATTCTGTCGCACTATCGATACTACAACTGCTTTAAAATCTGCGAATACTGACAAAAACAGTACCTGACTATAGCAAAGTATGTGTGTGTATCTTGTCGAACTCGAAGGCTGAATAGTTGCAATATCTGAATATGCGATATTCTGTTTTCTGCTAGTGTCCACCCATCATGCCATGGCTGCACCAGTGCATAACCTTAGTCGTGGTGGTCAGACGATTAATCATTCATACATTACATCGATTACGAAATTTTAAGCAGGGCAAACCGGTGGCGGTACCGGTACCTAATGAATTTAGTAATACAGTAATAGGACTAATAAAATGGTGGTACGCCACTGGTCTGCCGGTTGTCTACTACTAATTCGAATACCGTATACAATGTGTTTATAAAGTCCCGTTGAAATCAAAATTTTGTTATGAAGTCAGTTCTCATTATACAGGTATCTTCATCACTTTTTAGCAAATTTAATATAGCACTCCATGAACACCCGATATATAGTAGCACGGCTGCTCATCATATGCGAGTTCGACGTCTTTGCTGAACTGTACTCCCCGTCGTCGCAGGAGGCGCAGTTCTTACCACTTTATGGCAGGTCCTGCCACACGAACGAACCGCGTCAGCTCTTGCCATGGTTTATTCAGTAATCAGTATTAACGGTGTATTCACAAATCAATTGACCAGATTTTAATCAATCATGCGGAATTATATCTACTTAAACCCTAACCCCAAATCCATCAAAACTGTATCTTAATAAAAACGTTCCAACTTACCCAATATTTCAGCAGCCCACAGACTAGCAACAACTTCAGATTCATATACACCGGGAATAATAGTTCGTTTTTGCCGAATGAACAAGCGAGATGAGATCTATAAGAATAAGGCCAATCTTTCGAAGGAAAAGCAAGGTAATGAAATTTTCATTAACGAAAATTTAACTGAGTACCATCAGCAACTATTTAAACAAACGCGTCAACTTAAAAAAGAGAGAAACTACAAGTATGCATGAACCTATCATTGTAATATTTTTGTGAGAAAGAATGAAACTGCTAGGGCTTTAAAAATAACAAATAAGAAAGACCTTGACAAAATTCGTTGATGCTCTCCGTGCCCTTATTTATGGTAATATTTTCATGTGAGGCTTCATTTGTAAAGTGAAATATGGCAGTACACCAATCTATAATTAGATGCCTTTAACCAAAATTATGACAGAGTGCAAATTTTGTAACAAAGATTGTTCTGGTTATTTGGATAGCATTCACTGTCAAATTTGTCGCTACTGGATTCACTTTGAATGCTCACAGCTGACCTCATATCAAACTAGAAACATGAATAATGATTTCAGTCCCTTTTATTGCAAAGTATGTATAGAAGAAAATTTGTCCACGCCGTATGACTGCAACATCCTTTCTGATATTAATGACAAAACTGCAGTATTATCTGATGTAACAGATTGGAATACTGGTAGTAACTATATAAGTACATCTGACGCCATAGAGCATCTGAGGAATAAATCAAAATCTTCCTTTGTTATGCTACATTTAAATGTGAGAAGTTTGTATCGTAACAAATCTCAAATTAAATTTATCCTCCATGAAGGATCTAATTTACCAGAAGTTATTGCTATCTCGAAAACCAAATTGAGGGGACTGAATCATGATGTCTCAATAACTGGGTACTCTTTTTTCCATTCTGATTCTTCCACAAAAGCTGGTGGAGTTGGCTATTATGTGATAAATACGTTGACTGCTGTAGAACGCTCTGACCTACAATTCCAATTGAATGGCTGTGAAAATCTGTGGGTAGAAATTAAACTAAAATGTTATAAGCTTCCAAAAAAGAGCCTTGTAATAGGTGTGGTATATAGACACCCGTCATATAATATATTTGAGTTTCAATCCAAATTTGTTGAAAATCTAACCAACATTACCTCTTGTGATATACCAGCTTACATTGCGGGGGACTTCAATATTGATATTCTCAAGTATGATATAGATAGCAAAATACATAGATATATTGATGACATTCATAGTGCTGGTTTTCTATGTGCAATCAATAAGCCCACAAGAATATGTAAGAGTACCTCTACTATCCTTGATCATTTGTATTATAACAATGTGAAATATCATGTGAAAACCAGCATTATTACTTATGACATATCAGACCATTTTCCTTTACTCATACAAATCAATCTTGATTGCATGAGACATAAAATAAAAATCCTGCACAGAGATTTCAAAGAATTTAATCAAGAAAATTACATTGAACATTTGGGCTTGTTGCTGAAATAGAAAACTGATTCTGTTTCAGATATAAATTCAAAATTTTCTGTTTTTGTATCCTCGATTAAATCTGTAATTAAGCAACATGCCCCTATGAAACCTTTGTCACGGAAGTGTACTAAATTGAAATTAAAACCATGGATAACCGTGGGACTATATAAATCTTTTAAGACCAAAAATAGGCTATTTCAAAAATTCTGTAAGCGTAGAAATGAAGTAAGATTTGGACAATATAAAAGATATAGAGACAAGCTTCGGAAGCTGCTTTCATTAGCCTATGAAAATTACCATAAGGATTGTTTCAGGTCATGCCAGAAGAATATATCCAAAACTTGGAAACAAATTCGACAAATAATTGACAGAAAATCCAAGTCAAATGACATGCCAACATGTCTAAATTTTGATAGCTCTGAAATTAGGGACCATAATATGATTTGTGATGCCCTAAACAAACATTTTGCAGATGTACGGAAAAATTTTGCTGCGAAAATTAACACTACTAGCAAAAATGGATCTTTTTATCTAACAGATGTTACTGAATGTGAAATTGTAAATCTTTTGAATGAGTTGGATGAAAAATAATCATCAGGCTCTGACAATATTCCTATCAAACTTATAAAAATAGCTAAGTTTGTCATAGCACCTGTTTTAACAAATTTGATCAATGCTAGCTTCAGGGTAGGTATTTTCCCAGATATTCTAAAACTTGCCAAAGTTGTTCCATTGTATAAAAAGGGTAAAAGGGATGACATGAATAATTATCGTCCAATATCATTACTATCTCAATTTGCAAAAGTCATTGAAAAAGCCTTGTATAAAAGGCTGATAAACTTTTTTGATACTAATGAAATTATCAGTAATTCCCCATTTGGTTTCCGAAATGCACATTCTACAGAGCTTGCTGTAGTCAAACTAAAAGAATCAATATTGAATAATTTATCAGATAATAAAGTAACTTGTGCTATTTTCCTAGATTTGGCAAAGGCATTCGATACGGTTGACCACACTATTTTATTATACAAATTGTCCCATTATGGCATACGTGGATTGCCACTTAATCTAATTCGATCTTATTTAACGAAGCGTCAACAATTCATTGAATCGAATGGTTACAAATCTTCCCTTCAATATGTATCTTGTGGAGTCCCACAAGGTAGCACTCTTGGTCCCCTACTATTTTTAGTCTAAATCAATGATCTTCCTACTACCAGTGCGTTCGATACCACACTATTCGCTGATGATACAGCTCTGCTTGACTCTGCCACAAATATTGTAGATCTCCAACATGCAATGAATTTGAAAATAAAGCAAATTGGCCATTGGTTGAAACTAAATAAATTGTCGCTTAACTATTCGAAAACAAAATTCATGGTTTTTGGGTCTGGGAAAAATATAAGGTTTGAAAACTTTAAATTAGAAGTTGGCACAATTAGCTTGGAAAGAACAAGTACTATAAAATATTTTGAAATAGTTTTGGATGAAAAACTTAATTGGAAAAATCACATAGATTACCTTTCAAAAAAACTTTCTCAATCACTTGGAATGCTTTATAAATTAAGGAGATTTGTAAATCTTGAAACCCTTAAAATATTTTATAATAGCCTGGCCTTTTCACATCTTCGATATGGTATATTATGTTGGGGTAACGCGACAAAAACTGCTTTAAGACCCCTTGCCGTTTTACAAAATAAGATGATTAGATGTATGATGTACCGAAAGTCATCTAGACAAATACGTATAAATAATGCAAAACTGTATCATCGTTGTGGATTTCTTCAATTGAAAGAACTCTACATAAGTGAAGTGGGAAAATTTATGTATCGTTATGAAAATGTGCTGCTGCCAGAGTATTTTCAAAACTTTTTTGTCAAAATTTCAAATATCCATCCGTCTGAGACCAGGAGTACATCAAATAAATTGTATTTCACCCCGCGATATCAATCTTCAGGCATGAAGAAATCGCTCAAGCTGGAAGGTATTAATGTATGGCAAAGTATTCCACAGAGTATGAAACAGTGTTCCCCACAATTATTTGATCGCAAACTAAAACAACATTTATTAGCGGATTATAATGTGATGCAGTGACGCTCAAATCTCAGTGTATGCTATCAGATTCATAAAATGGATAGGAAATCACCATTTTATAGATGTATGTCTCTGTGAAAATTATTGAAGATACTATTATATATAGTCTGAAGTGTTCATATGTACTATATAGCTTTGGAAATATGGTATTTTAAATTTTTCACCCATTCATAGAAACTGCCTCATTCTCACTATTTGATTTTTGGCGAACACAAAGTAAAATTAAATTTGAGGTAATTATAGTTAGGCTTACGCCCTTCTTAATTTTTCACTTCTTTTCGCATTTTATTCACTATTAAAAAAAAGTATAACCTGCATAATCATGCGATGTTCTTTTTTCTTGTAATTTTCAATCTTTGATTGATACCACCCTATTTGCAAATTAAAACAGCATTTCAGCGGATCATAATATGATGCAATATCATGCAAATCTCAGTGTATGCTATCAGATTTATAAAATGGATAGGAATTCACAATCTTATATATGGATTCTTCATATGTCTTTGTGAAAATTATTGAAGATGCTATTATATATA